TGTAAATTCTGGTGAAAACTTAATATTCCATGAACGCTTTAGCTGATCCGCGCCTACCATGGTACACAGAGCCTCGACAAAAATCAAGATACTTGACTATGGAATTTGCAGTCTCTTGGAAAGCCGAACGAACAAGCAGGCAGGAAAACCTGATCAAGTGAGCCCTGGTCTTGTTGCAGTCAAACTAACGCTGCCTAGAAACCCCTAAATCCGCCCTAATCTCTTCGTACCGTGTCCCATAATGCAACAAATGGACGCACGCAGACAGTTTTGTGCTAACGGCTGTCTTTGAAAAACAAACATTGCGCGGGAAACGCAAGCTAAATTTGGGCCATGCTCCGTCAACAGCCTCCTAAGGAAGTACAAATGCAAAATGTGAGGACATCCGTAGGCTCGCAACTAGTGTCACAGAGGGGATCAAACTGGAGCTGAACTGTTTTTTTCGATTGTGCGAGCTGGTGCCATTTGAAATGAGCAGCAAAACGGCCTTTCGCTAAACGCACGTTGTAGCACTCTGCGCAGGTACTAAACAGTAGACGGTCCGGACGCGCTCTACTTGACGTCCCTGTGGCTGTAGTGTTGGCCATTGCGGGAGGCTTCGTCAGCTGAAGGCAAGTTTGTGGGCCTTACATTCACGTTTGACACTTGCGCTGTGGTCGTGCAGGCCAAGTAAAATACGATTATATATTAGACAACAGGCTGCAAACTGCCCACAGGGAAACTTACATCCTCTAGCTGGAGCGTGAGTGGCAGCGATCAGAGCCCGGGGCTTGCTGCTGCGCCAACTGTAAAACTGGTGTATCCTTGCAAAGTTACACCGCAAAGTTTGACCAAATTAGCTCTTAACAGGCGCCTTCACATCCACTTAAAGCGCCGGTGTCTCCAAGCAACTGCCGAATGGTCAGCACGATGAGTCCATGAATCAGAAGATGCGGACTTTCGGAGGCGGCAGACGCCTCCACTATTTGATTGCGTGATAGTGTCTAGATGCAAAGAACTCAAAGATCACTTGGCAAGCATTACGCATCCAATGGTTTGCCCATGGGCTGATTTTTGGACTCCATAACCACTTGATAGAATACAATTGGTTCTCAAGGCGACACAAAGACAGCATTTGCTCACGGCATACAAAATAGCGTCTCCAGATCTTCTTTTGCAGCAGCACAAAGGAGAATCCAGACATTGGGTGGAGGTGGGTGCTCCACCCACCTTCACCCAATATCTGGAGTCCACCTTGTATTCTAGCTGCAACCATCCACTTACTTAAGCAGGAGAGCTGTGTAAAGTCCGCTGTTTACCTAGCCACTGAAAGAATGAGGACGTCCGTCAGTGGCAGTTCCAGGATACGTATGCTGAAGAGAAACGGGGAAGAGTATGCATGGAGGGCCGACTTTGTGCGAGCGCCCTTCTGCGCCTGATCAGAAATGGTGCAGATGGTCAAGCAGGATGATAGACTCAGATTAAACACAATGCAGCGCCTCCATGCTTAGGACGCCGTGAGTCAAAACCACCCCATAGCTGTCGCTTTGCATAGCGGTAACTATGCAAAAAAAGTGTGCACTTTGACCTGTCCAGCCTGTGATTTCGTTCACTTTGTTTCACCTAGCAGCTTTGTCCTGCTGGTCATATCCCTTCAGCAGTTTCTAAGCGTCGTGCACCGTGTCCGGAGGCTTGCCTCCAAGCACTAGTGGGTCCCTCGTAGCATCTTACATGTTTAGCATTCCCAGTTACGCGCACTGCGAGCCTTCAGATACAGCAAAGTGATACCCTTGAAGGCCCTCTCATAAACCGCCATACTGCTATGACAGTGACGACGGTGTGCAATCGGTTCCGTTAAAAGGGCGCCAAGCATCATACTCAAGTGAACTCAAGCCATGTCAGGTGGGTAGTAGCCCAACCAAGCTCGGGCCAGTGAAGTATGCTGTAAGGCCCTTCTCCAGGCAGGGCAGCGTGCTTTGACCTGTTGCTGCCGCAATGCTTTGAGCCTCCAGCACTTAATATATCTGAAAAAAGTGCATAGACTTTGGCACGAAAGTAACAGCGGCAGGTCGCAGCAAGTAGACCTTATACCGCCCTTGGCCTTGTACAGCCAGCTGCGTCCACTTTGTGCATAGAGGCAGATGTACACTGTTCTGCAAATATGCTGACGTTTTTGGTGCACCTGCTGTCGCCAGATCCCACCAGCTCACTGTCTGCATCCAGAATGGCAACCGCGGGTAATTATTTTCCCCATGCGTTACGTAGAACCATTGCAGCAGTCATAGAAAGACCAGAAACGGCGGCTCACGTGCACAAAAATAGGAGCAGCTTGACTTTGCCAGCTAACATACAGCCAGTAATGTAGATCCACGTAAACATGGGTGATTGTTAGGGGCTTGACACCGGAAACGGCCACGTAGCAGGTTGGGCTCGCAAGTGCCTCCGCAACCCCTTGGGTGTCACAAATGCATAGGACAAGGCAAATTCGAAAAAAAGAACGGCATGGCAGATCTGCAGGTACGCTTAGCCACCCCGGGCCTCTACCTTGGACTACGACTCAGAGAATATGCACTAGCACCCAGCAGATATCCTTGCATCTGCTGACCCTAGCGTACCTGTCCCCTAGAAAAGCAGGGATGCAATTGTTGTGCGTGTTCTCGCTGGTCGCGTTGTTGCTGTTGCTCCTGCAAATGTTCCTGCTGCTCCTGCGCTTGTTGTAGCTGCAGCTGCTGCAGCTGTGACTGTTGCCCGGGCTTCTGAAGTTGCCTCTGGTGCTCTTGGAGCTGTTGAAACTGCGGAAATTGCGCTTGTTGCCGTATATTGGGAAGTTCTTGCGGTGGCAGGGGCTGCGGTTTTACCTGGAGCAGTTCCGGCTGCCAACCCTGCTGCTGTAGCGCTTGCTGCGGCTGCATTTGTTGTGCTTGAAACCAGGCGGCTTGACGCTGCTTACCTCCCAGCTGTTGCGGCTGTAGCAGCTGAGGGTAGGTCTGCTGCTGAAAACGCTCATGTCCTTTTAGATGCAGGTGTTTCACGCGCTGATCGTCCTGTGCACTCTGTTGTCCTTGGGTCTCCTGCAAGCGTCCTTGCAGCTGCTGTTGCAGAAACACCTGCTGTTCGCCCCGCAGCATCTCTTGCTCTTGCTCCGACTTTCGCCTGGGCTGTGAATAGTGCTCTGAGTCCTTCTCCTTCGAGCGCCTTTCTTGCGAATTCTGTGTCCGCACATACATCAGCACTAACAGAATAGCCGCCGCCGCTGTGATTGCCCTGACAAAATTTCGCCAAATAGTCCGCGGGCGAGAGGGCTGTCGAGTTTTGCGGGACTTGGCAGAGATCGGCGCTTCTAGCGCTGACTCTGGAACCTGACGTTGCTGCTTCAAACTGAAGTTCTCAGGGCCTGCAGATGCAGTTGGAATTGCATTGGCTGGAGAAGTTTCGGCATCGCCGCTGAGGCGCCCAGCTGACGGGTCAGTGGCTGCCTCCGCCGTAGTCGTTGCAAGTGTAAGAGTTACTGCTGAAGCTTCTGCTGCTGTGGTCTCTGCTGCTTCTGTTGATGGTTGTGGAGAAGCTGTTGCTGCTGGCACGCCTGCTACTGCCGCTGCTGCAGCCGCCCGCACGCAAAGCGCAAACAGGCAGGCGGGCCTCATATCTGTAAATGCGCGGCACAAGATGGACCCTAAAGACTTCCAGAAAGAGAATAGCGGTCAGTCTCTGCCGGCATTTCTCTGGCGCCTTCAGTGCTCGGGGATCATTTTAGCCCAGGCCTTAGACGACGATGTCCGCGACAAGAGTAGACCTTGGGGGGAAACGCAGTTGAAATAAGTGCACAACTTGAGAATACACAAAGAAACGAAAACGCTAATTTTAATTCAACACAGATGTGGGGGAACGCGGAGGAGAATAGTGTCATCATGGGCGTGCAGCTGGAGCTGCCTTCCAGCCGCAAGGTTCACGTATCGCGCAGCAGAAGCCGCCAGGAGTAAATGACCGGCGAGCAACTCCTCGCCCCTTTTGCTTTTGCACTGATTGAAGCTGAAGAAGGAAAGATAAAGCCAACGAAGAGGGGCAGACTGCCTCAACGGGGTACCGATCGACACGATGGATCACCTGCAGCAGGAGAACCACAGTGCCAAGATCTCAACCGACTGCCGCGACAGGGCACGGAAGTGCAGCTGTAGCAATGCATGCCAGCGCAAATAATCACAATGTTAATATTGGCCTACTCGGGAGCAAAAAGGCCATGGTGAAGCTACCACCTCAGACGGGGTGCAGGGACAATGTAGAGCTGGCATCAGCCCACGTCCCTCTCGATGTACTGTGAACATGAGAAGTGTCGAAGCTCAGAAAACCGTTGCGAGAGGTCTCCATCGGCCCACATTTGTCAGAATGCACCTAAACCTTACAAGGTCCCTCTCGACACTAGCTACATCAACAGCAGATGAATCTGCACACCGACCTACAAAGTTCAACTTGTAGACCACAGACACTTCAAGAACTGTCGTTCCCGGTTTCTTCAGCTTACAAAAAACCGCTCTCTCCAGTTCTGAAGGGATCAGCTCATGCCTACCTCACCGGCCACAGGCCAGCTCTTGAATAGCACAATCGCACCAACAGCTCCAACAAAAAGTAAGACAGGTGCTCTGCAAACAATAAAAACAATGGCTTGAACGAGAACTAGCCAGCAACAGTTTCACCAAAGGCTACAGAAACAAACGCAGCCACTCTACCGGCCTTACCTGAGGCGATAGCGATTGTGTGAGCACCAAAACCAGCCATGCCCACTCACAGACGAAAAAGGCAACCAAATGCCATCTACCGCAGCAGCCAAGGCAGTACTAGCAACATGGCAGACAAGTGTACTTCAAACACGGGGCTGTGACAAGCACGGTACTCGCTAACTCCTCGAAGGAGAAACTGCTGCTTCAGTTTACAGCAGTAGCCAACGTGGAGGTGGCCCCAACAGCAAAGGCGGCTGCTGCCTCAGGAGTACTAACAAGATCACGGCAGTTCAGCGTACATTACTTTTAGGTTTTAGTAACCCTCAGCAGCTTTCTGTATTCGGTAAGCTGCTTCCGCTTTGCGTCGATCTGTTGCTGCAACTTCTGCTGCTCTTCGGCATTCAGTGTATCGTGTGTCTGTCGCATGAAAGCGTCTAAACAATCTTCTTCTTCTTCAGCAGCTGCAGGTTGCGTCTTTATATCTGCCGCTGCTGTTGCTGTTGTCGAGACTGCGATTGTCTGTGCTGGTGCAGTCACGCTGGCTGTTTTCGTTGCTAAGATAGCGGCAGCAGCTGGTCCTTGTGCTATCGCTGCAGCAGCAGCGCCCTTTCTTTTCTGGAGTTCAAGCTCCATTATCTCCTGCCTCAAGGACTTCAAAGATGCCTTGATAGATAGCTCATCCAGAGGCTTACTTTGCCGCTGCGTCCCCGTACTAGTATCTGCTGCTGCTGTTGCCGTCCTGTCAAAGAAGGAGTCATCCTCGTCGAAGCTGCAGGCAGCCGCGAAGAAAGCCTCAGCTTTTCGCCGTTTCCTGCTGTCAAGCTGCCACTGCAATGCGTCAGCAGCCGCTGCTGCCGCTTCTGCTGCCGCTTCTGCTGCCGCGGCACTTGCCTCATCACCTGCAGCAGCGGCGGCCGCTGCTTTCTCCTCAAGCTGCTGCTGCTGCTGCACCAACTGCAGAAATCGCGCTTCTTCCTGCTGCTCTTTCAACTCTCGTTTGGCTGTCTTTGCATTGGCAGGAGCGGCTCCTGCTGCAGCCTTGGTTCTAGCTGTCGTCGCTGCCAGTGTCGCTGCCTGTGGTTTCGTTGCTCTTGCTGCCGGTTGCGCTGTTAGTGTGAGTGCCATCTCAGCAGCTTTGCCAGTTCCGATTACGAACAGCCTGCAGAGCGCAAATACATTGAACAGGAGCAAAAATAACCCACATTAAGTAAAGGTATTCAATGACAGCAGCTTCACTTAAGAGGCTAGTGCAACCGGAATAACAATGCAGGGAAGCAGCAGTGACAAATTCATCTGGAACAGCAGGAACGGTGAACACAACTCAGGACAGGTGCAACCAGTACAGCATCGGCAGCAGCCGCGGAGACTGAAGCACAAGCAAAGGCAAGTACTGTAGCGCGAGCAACAGCAATGAACCTGTTGGTTGTTCCTGGCGTGCCCAAGACAAACACGCAGCTTTCATCCCCGTCGTCTTCATCTCCAGACAGCAACGCTTTGCTGGTACTGCTGCTGGCGTTGTCGCTGCTGCGAACACTGTCCGAATCGGTTCGCGTATAGGGAACGAAAGAGGCAGCAGCTTCGGGGACACCTGGCCCGAGCAGCAAGAGCGGCTGTCTGGCGGGAAGGGCATTGCCGTTGCAACAAGTGCCAAAAGAGGAGCCCAAGTCCACAGCGTAAAGGCTGTGTGGAGCGCTTTGACTGTACTGAAGAACTGCAACAATAATTACGCAGAGTCACATTGATTCTGCTACTTTTGCTACTGTTGGAACTGCAACAACAATTACGCAGAGTCACATTGATGCTGCTACATTTGCTACTGTTGATGCAGTGCTGCTCCCACATGCCGAACGTAGGCATGTGCTACGATTCAAGGGCGTGTGGCTTACCTAGGTGGCGTCTGGAGACACACGGGTGCGGATAGTAAATGTCTGCTTGCTCATTACTGCCAATAACCCAATACGGCTTCTGCTCAAGACGAAAGGACTCGATAGTGATGCCCTGACGGATTACTTGCAACACTGCATGAGGCAGAGCAGCTGCTGCTGCGGTCCCTTCTGCTTTCGCTCCAGGACCTTGTAGTGTGCCTATATTTGCCGAAGTACCCAAAGCGTCATACCCAGCTTTCGTGAGGCCCCACGGAGGAGGCACGTAGTAGTTGCCGGTGATGCTGCCTGTGTTCGTGCTCCCACTAATAGTACTACCTCGACTAATATTTTTATCGGCAGTGTCTTTCGCCCAGATGTTGCTGCGGGTAGGATCGCTCGAGGTCCCACAAGGATCGCTGCTGCGATTCCTCGTGCTGCTGTTCCCGACAGTCGAGCCCGTGCTGTCGTTGCTACAGCCCCTACGATCGTGAGAATGCTCCATGACAAATATAAGCCAGTATGTTCGTTACTTTGTACCGCAGCCTATGCGGCTTCTGCTGCATTTCGCGACGTCCTGCCGCGTTTACTGGAGTGGATCTGGAAAGATTCTGGCGCTTCTTAAGCGGTGATTCTCAGTGGAGTCAAGGCTTCTAGCTCAACCAAGTACAATTTTGGGGAATCAAAATTTGTGGAGATTTTTCACAATCTGCACCTGTAAAGCAAATGCAGCTGCACCACATGCAGCCCCGCCCTGTACTTCTGCCGTATTAAGCGTATATCTAAATAGATTAAACTTAAGCTCTCAAGCCTAGCTGTACGTGTAAAACTCAGGCTTTAGGACTATAGATTTTCGGTAACTATCCAGAAAGGCTCAGAATATCCTTGAGATGCTCTCTCTAGCGCTCCTACTTAGAAGTTCTGTCGGCAGTGGGGTTGCCGCATCGAAAGCAGCCAGAAATGCGGCTCCTGCTATTCCAGCCTGCGCCACTAGTTCTTCACCACATTCTTACAGCTGCACTAGATCCTTCAACAGCGCCAAGAAGCACAGCCGCAATCTTTGGAGCAATGGGAGCAGCAACAGTAAGTCCTCGAAACTACCCAGCTTTCCAGGAACGAGCAACTGCGTACTTGTGCGCCGCCGCCACAGCAACGATGACAGACAGTGCAGAAGCTCTCCCTGCGACAAAAATTTCAGCAGGCACACAAGCTCCACTGCTGGGAGCGGCAGCCCCAGCAGTGGGCAATATCGTCAGCAACTGCACAACGAGGAGAAGCTATTTTCTGCACAAGCCGATGATTGGTGGGACCCCGACGGTCCTGCTGGGGCTTTGCATGCGTACACTCCAGTGCGGGTATCCTTGCTAGTGCAGCAACTGCAGACGCTACCTATCTACCAGCAGATCCTTCGGTCCCTCCCACAGCTGCAACAACAGCAGCAGGCGCAAGCGGCAGAGCTGCCTCTATGCGGAGTGCGCATCGCTGACATAGGCTGCGGCGGAGGCCTTCTTAGCGAAGGCCTTGCTGCTGCAGGGGCTTCAGTCACTGGGTTTGATTCTAACGAGCAGCTTCTTGCAGCAGCGGGTCGCAGACAGAAGCAACGCGGTCAGATACATACATAGTGCTGCTTTTCTGCTGTTACTTTGCCTCCTTCCACTGGCCTTGGCGATTTCGGCAATGCCGCAGTCCCACTTATTGTTTCTTGGACGCTTGCTGATGACGCTGCTGTTGTTGCTTCAGCCTCACAGGGCCTCCCTGACTTGGGCAGTCGTCTGTCCTACGTCGTAGCAGACGCTTGCACTCTGCCGAAACGGTAAGGTACTCTAGATGTGGCACTCCCTATTGAAGTATTAGGTGCTGCTGCGGTGTGGTTGTTCGCTGCTTATTCTCGGGCAGGAATGGCCACTGGATCAACAGAGGCAACACCAACGGGTTGTGGTGCCCATGCAGGCCGGAGTGTGGTCACTTTCATGCTGCAGTGATGTCGGAGGTAATCGAGCATATATGGGGGAAGGAAGGCAAGGCAGCCGCAATTGCTGCGGCGGCAGCGCGGCTGCAACAGGGTGGACTCTTCATGCTAACGTCTCTTAACCGAACCCCAGAAAATTACGTCGCCTCAATTCTCGTGGCCGAACATCTCCTGGGCATCATCCCAAAGGTGAGGTCTATCAAGCTACGAGGATACGTAGATATCTAGCTATCTAAGGAGCAACTAAAGGGCAAACTAGGCATATCCACAAATAGCTCATTCCCTGCTTGCTGCTATTTGCTGCACGAGACGGAATCCTTGGGTTCCTATCTCGCCAACTAGTCTTGCAGCACTCATGGAGGTGCCGCTGGTGGATGATTAGCTAACAGTTAACCAGCTGAGCAGGCGAGCAGTTTGATTCTGTTCCCCCGTCTTCAGAGTTTCAGTCTCCGTATGTGTGTGCCTATGTATGGCTCCACATTTAGCTTTGCAGGGTCCGCAATCTCATGCTCGTTGAAAAGATGAATCGATGACGTTTCATCGCATGTAGTGTTGTGTACCATAGCGCTTAAGTATACCTCAGAAACGTATGCCTGCTGGAGTCTGGATCTTGCCGATGCGCTTTTAGCCGTGTGTCTGTTTACCCCTACCTAAAAGCCGGGGAGCATCTAAACGGCTGAATGCACGAGGTGCATTTACGGTGCAACGAGACGTGTCTGCAGGGTACGCACGACTGGAAAAATTTCAGCACCCCCGAAGAGATACGGTGTCTATGTAGAGCTGCGGGGCTTCGGCCGCTGCATGAAGTGGGATTTATATATAACCCTTTCAACAGAAGATTCATTCAGGAGCCCACAATGCGCCTTCTTTACGCCATGACTTTCGTCAAGTCATGATTCGTGCTGCTGCAGCACGTGCTGCTGCAGCTGCCGCTGCTTGAAGTGCTCCCGCTGCAGGGCCTTGAAGAGGCCACCAATAGAAGTGCATCCCACACAGAACCAGGCAGCCGCCGTCCCACTGTGTACTGTGGCATTGCACAGTTACTCAAAGTACACTGGTTATGGTGCACCGGCGCGGTAGCAGTACGCAAAATACCGGGGCTGCTGAAATGAAACGAGTAGTGTAGCAGCTGTTGCTTCGTTTCATGTTGAAGCCTGGTTTTTGGGACCGGAGCCTGTAACTCTGGCATTTGTGCAAGTGGCTGCTCCTGCACTGCTGGTGGTAGCGCTTCTGCTGCTGCTACTGCTTGCCCTCCTTGGCTGCGGATATGGAACAACCGATACGACAGCGACATGAGTGCATACGTGTCACGTCTTCGTCACGGTTTCTTAACAGCCCGTGGCTCTTCCGCTCCTGCTGTTTTACGTTGTTTCTGAAGTCGTCCATTGATCTCGAGCTGCAGCTGCTGCTGCTGTCGAAGGTCCGCGTAGCGCAGCACATGCATGTGCCTACAATGACAACAGCAAACGGCCCATCAAGCAAGCTCTCAAGGGCAGCTACATCCAGCCTTAAGCGCAGCGGCAAGTGCAGAAACAGTAGCAGCTTACCCAATGAGCCCACATTTTCTGCTGCTAACGGAGTAGCCCATGAGGAATCGCCACGCAGCGGCGCACGCAGAAGGCAAATACTCCACTTGGCCTCGAGACACAGACTTCTACGCACAGATGGCACAGCACACAGCTGCCGCACCTGTACGCTCATAGTGGGCTGCGTAGTAAAACACTGGCAGTTACTGTGGCAGTTTCCGGCGACACAGCTGTTGCTAAAGCTGCGTTGTCGGTGCAGCCGCTTCCACAGGCTCTCCTGTTGCTGGCTCCGCTTGCACACCAGTCAGACACAGCAACGCCGGCTGTGGCGGCAGAAGCCTAAGCAGCAACGGCGTCCTTCATACTGAACACGGTAGCATGGAGCAACAACGCCAGCTCTCACAAGAGCAGTACTACAGGGCCGCAGAATCAACAGCGACAAACGCAGGACTCACATTGCATACGGGACACATTTTGGATACGTTCCAATGGACCACATGCCGTTGCTGCTGTCGCTGCACCTTAGATATTGGGCTCTCGCTGGTAGTGGCGATGCTGCTATTTTTGGTGCTGCTGGAGCGGTCATTGCTGTTGCTCTTGATATCAATGCTGCTGCTGCTGGGTTCTGGGAATTGTGTTTGCATGAGAGAGAATGCCGTCCTTTGCTGCATATTGGCCTGCAGCACTGTCACTTCAGGTGTTGTTGGTGCGAGACAGCGCAGGTGGCACCGTGACTGCATGGCCGTACCAAGGCGACGGTCCCGTAACAGTCCCAATGCACGGGAAGTCTGGTGCAGACGAATATCTGCTGTTCTTATTGGTGTTCGAGCCGACGCTACGCAGGCTGCTGGCGTGGCTCGTTTTGCTGCTTGCGTTCCTCCCGTTGGTGCGCCACTCGCAATCCTTGTCGCTGGCTCACAACGAACTGTCGAACGCAGCCAGACGCAGCACGTGCCGTGTACGAACCGTGCGGTACCTGCCATTGCTGCTGCAGCTGCTACTGCTGCTCTAGCGGCTGCTGCTGCGGGGGAGTCTGATTTGGCTACAGCTGATGCCAGCATCATCAGCAAGAGCTAGCTTGTGCGGAGCAGCTCTATTGTGAAACCTCAGGTTGCCGCTGTCGTTCATGCTTCTGCCATGTTCGCTGCTGCCACTCCAACTGCCCCAACTGTTGCAGCCGCTCCCGAATTTGGCAATGTGCACCCGTGCTGCACCTGTTCCGGCCTTTGCAAAAAAGCAAGTGAACGCTTCAGCTGAAAGTTCTGTATCCAGCTACTAATCCATTTCTTGCGCAGCCACGCATGCGCTCCCTTGCTGAATCGCAATGATACTCGGGGCCCCATTGGTGTGGGGCACCTGTATCGATTTCTCCCCACGAAAACTGCTGTAACAATAAAAGTCCATCATTTCACCTGAGCGAATGTAGAACGGCGAACGAATATAGAAGCATAATACTAGTGATAGAAGCAGCGGCAGCAGGAGCGGTGGATGCAAGTGTCGAACCATTTGGCGCATGGTGCAGTGGTGTTTTCTGACTTCAGTCGGCTTCTTTGTACAGACTACAAGAGGTGGCCTCCCTCTCTGCAGCTTAGCTGACAGCAGTCAACAACAAGCATAGAGCCAGCAGCGGAAGCCGCAGCAACAATATGGGAATCAGCAGTGCTGGGGAAGCTCAGAAATCACCTAAGAAGCGCCGTGACAAAGGCCCCGCTACTTGCTCTGCTGCTGATTCCGGAGCCTCAAACAGCGAACAGAAGGAAGGGCGGCCGGTCTCTGCATTCTGCGTAGCCGCCGTAGAGTCAGACGCGGCTGGGAGGAACAGCAAAGTGGCAGCTCGATTGCTTTCTCGCAACAGAAGTTTGGACTCCGAGGAGCTCTCAGAATATCTGTGGAGATCGAACAAAACCATCGCCAAATGTGCAGTACGTGTCTTTGCTGCTGTCCTTATTTTCATCTTTTCCGTCTCTCTCCCTCCCGGTCTATGCTACTTATGGTTTGGCCAGAGGCGAATTATTGCGTCCCATAGATGTTGCCTGGAACGCCTCTGGCTTTTGCTGGCATCTGTATACTTCAGGCTTCCAACAATGCGATATTAGAGGTATATAGCCTACCAAATGGGACGTCTTTGGACGCAGGATGTGGTTGCTTCGTTGCACCTTTCACAGAAACGGAAGCAGGCGTTGCAACCTTCATCGTTGCAGGTGCAGCAGCAGGCGAAGTTGTGGCCCTCAGGCCTCACAAGAGGAGCAGCGGCACCGATTCACAGGCGGCGCTTCCCCTACCAACCACAGCGTTGAAGATCGCTGCGCGCGCCGAGGTAGGCGTCACAAGATGGAACGTCAGAAACGCTGGGAAATGTGGTGGATGAGGGAGTCACAGGTGCTCTGTGCATATACGTTGTGTAGTGCCATTGTGCGGGCTATCGCTGTTGGCAGGTTGGGGGCCATTTACTGATGCTGCTGCCATTGCGCACGATGCAGAAAGAGCAGGAGTACGATGATGAGCAGGAACAGAAGTTATTGCAGCGGCACCCGGATGCTATACTCGCCATTAGTTTGGTGCTGCCGAAGGAGTTACAAAGCAACGGCGTCACCGAGAAACAGCCAGTCCTTCTATGCTCGTTGCTTGAGCCGAAGACATTGGAGGAGCAGATGCTGTCTCGCCTGCTGCTGCCGACAGCAGCAGCTGCGGCTGCTGCTGCAGGCTCGCTGCAGATCGAAGCAGTGCAGCTGCAGTCTACAACAAAAATTTATTCAGGTGTAGGGGATTTGTCACGGGTGCTTCTTGTGGTTGCTGTACCAGGGGTGGGTGTTTTCTACGGCTCCTTGGCCGTGAAGGGTGCATTGTTCGACGGAAAAGGCAACAGTAGCGGCAGCTGCCTGAACAGCAGCAGTGAAGATGCGCCTGTGCTACAAGAGCTCTGTTTGGGCGGCCAAGCCCCGCGTTCCATAAGCTGTTTGCAGGCAACATCTAGTTCAGCAGGAACCACAGCTGCTGCTGCCGAGCCCGTGCTGCTTGTGGATTCAGTCCAAGGAGAGCTGCTTGTATGCTGCTAAACACCGTTGATTCAGTGACTTCTGCAGCTGCCTTTCGCGCCACTATTTTTTTCTGAAATCAAAGAGGCGAAGCTGAAAGCTAGTATCGCACAGCTGTTATGACCTATCTCGTGCTTCTCTTGCAGGCTTTTGGTTTTGACGGCGTTTTTGAAGGCCGTCTTCGCTGCCTGAAACGCAGCCGGCGTTTACTGCCTCTAGCACAAGCAGCGCCTAAAGGAATAAAGAAAGCGACAATAGCAGGTGGCAGTATCCTGCTGTCTTCTGCCTGCTGTTTAGAGTGGTCTGCAGTAACAGCAATAGAAACAGCCCAAGAGACGGGAGTGAGTAACCCCAGGACGAGCTTCTGCAGATTTATATTGCGAGACCTCCGCTGGTTTTCACGCATTGGCCCAGCGTACACCACGCATCTTCCATCAACTGCAGTGCACTCTGTAAGCTGACAAGCAACAGCAGCAGTTGCACCAGAAGTAGAGACCTTCTTTGGAGCAGAAGTACCGGCGGAGTGAGATAAGGTGCGAGGGCGCTTAGGACACACATGCACATTCTGCGAACTGACTTGTTGGGGCACGTTTCATATGAGCTGCTTTTCCCTGTCTTGCTGCTGCTTAGGTTGGTGCTCTATGGTACCAGTCGATGTGGCACCAGCAGCAGCCGCAGCGCCAGCAGCCTCTTTCACTGCTATGGGCCTGTGAGGGGAAATCGTTTATTACACGCTGCTCTTCACCAGCGCCTGCATTGGCGCAAGCTGTCGGTGGGTGATTCTCGCTGATGCCCAATTGCTGCTGTTTTTCTGCCAGGGTGGGTTTTGCATTGCAAGTCTCTAGGGCTTAAAGCTGCCTTATGGCAAGCATTTTGCTGCTGGGCCATTTCGGTTCCTCGTTTGTATGGTTCTTCGGATTTGCTATCTATGTCCATTACTGCCTGCGTTAGTGTATTTGCCGATAGCACTTAAGGAGTATACTGCGCAGGTATTCTTGCTGCAGCTGCTGCTTTTTTTCCGGGCAACTTTGCAGCAGCCGGAATATCGAGCAACGTTATTGTTGGCCAGCACCGGCAACTCATACAGCAGCAGCTGCGTCAAATTTTCGACCAGCAGCAACAGAAGATAGTGGAGCAGCTGCTGCAGCTGCCCAGACAGCCTTTGAGCCCAGAGGCCCTGCAGAAGAGCTTTGGTCTCTTCATAAAATCTCCAGAGACGAGGCGGCTGATGGGTGTGGCTGTTGTCGCTCATGCTGTTGCATGTGCTGCCACAATTGGCGACGCTGCATCCTTGAGCCCGTCGCAGCGAGAGCTGTACAGACTGGTGCTGCTGCGCCTGTTGTTTAGCCTTAGTTTTGCGACTGCTACCAATTACATCGCCCATTTACATGTTTCAGTCTGCTCCAGCTGCATTTCGCGGTGCGGTTTTTGTTGCTGCCTGTTTGCATACAGAGGAGGCGATCTGCCTGTTACTACATGCGCAGATATTGGCTCCTCACCGCACTGTTGTGGAGCTGCTGATACAGTTCGAGTTAGAAACGGCTGCGGCTTGCGCTTGCTGTTGTCCGTCCTTGCGGGTGCGTGTAGTCTGTGTCGTTACTGAGTCTGTTGCTCTGGTTGGTGTAACTCGATGATGGAAGCTTCTGTTGTCCCGTATGTGGATTTGCTTCGCCTACAGGAGGAAAATGCGGCGTTGCTTGTGCAGTGGAGACCCCAGCTGCTGCGAGTGCTGCTGCGCCATGCGCAGCACTTTCAGGCCTCATTACTGGCGGAAAGCCTGCTGCATTTACAGACGCAACAGAAGCAAAAACAGAACATGCAGCGGAATGTCGCAGAGTCGCTGTTGAGACAATTGGTTGATTGGTTGCAGCAACAATACTGCAAAGACGTGGGACCAGAGCAGCAGTCGGAGGGTTTTTCGCAACAGCAGCTAGAACGAAAACAGCAAGAGGAGCCGCCACTGCCGCTGGCTGTTTTGCTTGACCTTGCACGTGGATTCATTGACGCATTTCTCCCTGTAGGCGCCATCCAAATGCCAGTGCTAGGGTTTACAGCTTGGATACAGCGTTCTTTGGAGCAGAAAACGAATGGCTGGATTTTCTGGGGTCTACAACTTGGGATACAGCGTTTTTTTGAGGCTGAATGTCTGCACAGGCAAGTCTATTTCCAGGCGTGGGGCGGTGGGAAGCGAATGAGCTGCAGAGGGTTCGCGGTTTGTTGTTGCTGCTACAGCAACAAGTCGAGCTGCTGCTGCAGCAGTTCAGCAGGCAGGAGGAGCAGAAGCTAGAAGGAAAAATTGTGGCTGTTCTGAACTCCAGATTAACACCTCAAGAGCTAGTAAGTTTGTTGCGCTGCCGCTGCTGTCGCTGCTGCAGCAGCAGCACCATCTTTCCGCATTTAACAATACGTATTTCTCACATCTTCAGGAATTGTAGGGAAAGGCTTAGAGATTGGCGGTTTGAATTTATGTGGCAGGCAGAGAAGGCGAGCCAAGAATCACTTTTTCATATATCGAGGCTACGCATTTGAGTGCAACAGCTGCTAAACAGCATCTGTTGAAACAGCTACAGCGATGGCAGCGGCAGCAGCAGTTCACGGAGCAGGTCACTTCAACTCCCAGACAAGGTCGCCAGCAGCACTACCCGATATGAGTGCGGTGGCACAGCAGCTACTAGCAGTGTCTTTGTATGGATTGGACAGAGGCTTGCTGCCGAAGCGTCTAGGTGGCCTCAGTACGTTCATTGGCAAGAAGTTTTTTGCCAAGCATTAAACGCCTACTGAACCGAAAATGCTAAGTCGTGAGATCCGTCATCAAGTCCCATGCTAACATTCCTGGGTGCGCGCATTCCTCAGCATCCTGCAGGCCTATTTTCTTGTTGCTACCGTCTAATCGCTTGTTACTCGAACGGGCGGGTTGCGCGTTGGTACACTACAGCTCGCTTAAGAGCATAATCAAGCCTCTGATGGCCTCCCGAGCTGCTAATGCTGCAGCTAGGTCCGTCGGCGGCTTCTTTTGGTGCTGGCAGCTACATGACTACGCCACGGCTACCACAGGCTGGAGTGTTGTTCGCGAGGAATGAAGTTATAGCACTCTGGTTACAACTCAGGGAATTTGGGGAGAGCTGATCAAAGGGGCAAACAACTCGAGAATGTCTAGAATGCTACTGTGTGCAACTCCAGAGCATGATGCACTCTATACGTTGGAAGTGTCGACCTGCGGGACCTCACACTTGGTCGAGACACCGATTCTGAGACTAAGAGCTATTTAATGGCGTCCAAGTGGTAAACCTAGAAGTAGACACGGAAGTACCTAAAATGACACATTAGCCTCAAGCAGGAGTCGAGGCTTTGCAAGTAAATCATGAAGCGCCAATCTTGATTTTGTTCCGTATCGCTCTTTGCAGTCTGTATTTGAGGCATGCGGCACAGGAGAGAGGATGCCCCGTGTGGAGGTGCACGCACATTGTACACTGGTTGAGACCAGTGAGACTTGGTATTCAGTAGCTGTAGTTGTATATACGGTTGTCAGGCAATTGGCCTTGGTGATGAAGAATTTGACCTGCAAGCGGTGTTGGCAGGAGTTCGTTCACTGCGGTACGCTAGAACAAAGGAGATTCAGTATAGGGGTACGTTTGTTCAAGGGTCTGCGCACCAATTGGCTGACCAAGGAAGGTTGTCCCGTCCGAACTTGCGGGGACGTTCCCTTGCAACGCGCTAATGCTACTTTAAGTTGGCGGGCAACTGCTGATGAGTGGCGCTGACTTTATCAATCGCATAGTTCCCTTAGGTTTTACGAATTTATATCAACTCTCAGAAAGCATTCTAGTGCTATTATTGTAGTATTGTTGACGAAGCCACAACCAAATACGCATTCGTATGGTCTACAAAGCAGACCTTCCAATACAGCGTGGGCTGTCTGCAAACAGGCTTTACAAGTAGCTGAGGTGGATAAGCTCCAAAAAGGGCGAAACGTTAGTTTTTTAGGAAAATTAAGATGTCCTGTTTTCGTGTATGTGCGTTATTCGGTGAATAGGGCTCAACTGGCCTTCGAACTGCAACCCCGAAGAGGGTGCAGCCGAAGAGGCGGCTACACCGCATTCGTAGAACTGCCTTGTTAGTCTTCATTACATTAATCAGACGTTAAGCTATGATTTAACGCAAAGTTTTCTAGAAGGTCGAAGTGGTTTACAGCTTAATAGTCTCCAGGGCTGAACGGATCCCGTCCACCACCCCCAACACATTGTTGCTGTCTGGGCCTCGACGTCTTATCAGCGGATGACTCAGTGTTCGTCTCCATTTTTGGATTTTTTTAAACGAAACTTAGAAATGTGGGAGAAATGCTCGTTTTCAGTCTATTGAGTTTTCTAGCCGTGGCAGTCCACCTGCAACTGCAGGAGTACCACTGCATGTGACGGGCACGACAGTCACGCTTCATGTGATGAATCGCCTCTTGTTTTCAGGGCAGCTTGAATAGAATTGGCAGAGAGGTCACACAGAAAGGACCGGGGTTGCATATCTCTGGCGGGGAAAGTACATGCTCCTGAAATTGCAGAGACGTCAAGAGCAGCAACAACAGCAGTAAACATTGCAGCGGCATGAAAAGGAGTGCCTTCTGTCTGTTGTATGCAAGATGCCTCGGGAGCTGATTACAATTCAGGTTGGTCAATGCGGCAACCAAATTGGTATGGAGTTCTGGAAACAACTGTGCGCAGAGCATGGCATTGACCAGGTGGGTATATGCTGTCTCCGTTTATGCGGCCTCCCCTTCGCTTTCTTCAGCCATGGATTGTTATTTTGAAACCGGTGCTTTTGTCCACTGTCTCCTCCTTTCCTTGTCATTTTGTGTGCCTATTGTTTTCTCCTTCCCTTGCTGCATGAGTTCTGCAGCTCTGCTTTGGCTGCTTTATGACTGCGTGGTGCCGTTTCTGCATTTTATTTTTGTCTCCGTGCATTTGCCTTCCGTTGTGCGGCTGTCTCCTATCACGTGACACTCTGCCAGGTTTTGTGTATCAACAGTTTCCCATTGATTTTGCCTTCTCAATTCACCGTTATCAGAAAAATATACCGCTATATATATTTCTTTCTTCCCCACACCACTCCGTGCGCATCTGATGCATTGATTCCACTTGTTGCAGCTGTTCAAATGTTGCAAGCATTGCATTTTGCGCATGGTGATGTGTTGCACGTGCTTTAGGAGGGTTTGCTGTTGCCCGTGGCCCAAGCATCAGAAGACCGTAAGGACGTCTTTTTCTACCAGGCAGATGATGAGCATTACATACCAAGAGCACTTCTCTTCGACTTAGAGCCTCGCGTCATCAACACAATTCAGGTGAACACAATTGTGCACTGCTGAAGCTTCCGTGCCACTGTGTTGTTAGTGCTGTTGCACCTTCGTTACGGGTGTGGTGTTGCTGCTGGCGGTAGATTTCTACAACTGCTGGGCGTTTCTGTTTGCTTTGGATGCTTCTTTGTCGCGGTCTCTAAATTGCTGCAGCAGCAGGAGCTTCAGAGCCTCAACTAAAGCGCAGCGGAGGTGGAGCTGTTACCAAGCCGATACATTGTTTGTTGACAAGTTTCTTTCCTTCACAGTGTAGCAGATTCTCCTACTGTCTTCATCAACTGTTTACATTTGATTCCCGTGGACTGTTTAACTCTGGTTCCCGTGGACTATGTATAGATAGGCCTCTTACCCTGCTTGTCTACCTGTGTAGGGGGGTCTGTTCATGTACTCTTCTGTGTATTCCCACTATTTTATGCCCGTGCCCTACTGCGTGCATCTTTCTGTGCGTGTCGATGTCTGTCTTCTGTCACTTTAGTGTGGCTTTTTCTGGTGTATATGGGTTCTGTATACGCGTTTGTCGTGTTTGCCTGGATCATACGATTTTGGCTGCCTAAATCTAAATCTGCAACCGTATTTTATGTTCTTGTGGATGTCTGAGCCTGCCTGACTCCCGGCGACTACTTTTGTGTGTCGGCCTGTATTTTCCTCTCTATGTCTTGACATGGACGCAAACATCTGCTTGTCTTTGCCTGATCCTGCTTAATCTTTGTATTTTTATGCCTTACAGGTAAGGCCAAGAAAAGTACGGATAAGCATTTCTGTCTTCTCCCAGTCCTTGCTCGCCTGTCTTTGCGCTTTTTCTTGAGTGGGTTCATCATCATCTTTGCCCATTTTCTTTTGCGTCTAGCTTTCAGGCTCCTTTGCTTATGTGTCAGCGTACGTTTTCACAGTGCCCGTTAATGGTGTAGTTTAGGAGCATGCGTTTTTCCTTTGCCGTTGCCTGTTGTTATCTACGTTTACCGAGGTCCGGGAGGTCCTGTATTTTATGTACTTCTGCGTTGGATTGGTGACGCTCGGATGGTTTGGTCACCTGCCTGCGTCGATAACGTCAGCTCCTTTCTGCTTGTATGTGTGTCTAATCCTTTTTGCGCCTCAATCTCATTTAGCTCCTGCTCAGAGTAGTGTTTAGTCACTTTGCTACCGACCTATGGGCTAATCGCAAGCTGGAACGATTCTGTCGCCCTTTGGATGGCACTTACCATGATCGGATTGCTGCTGATTACCGCTCTTACTGGTTCCGCGATTTTGCCTGTTTGGCGGAGTGCAGACCTCAGAATATCGTCATCTGTACAACCCAGAAAATTTCTTCGTTTCCAGAGACGGCGGTGGTGGGTCGAGAGAGACAAAGAGGGAATCTACTTGATTCATGACAAACATGCTACTTGCTAACTAGCTAGCTAGGCGTCACCAACAGATGGCGCCAAAGGTGACAGTAAACGACAGGGTCAGTAGTCGCTTAATGCAGCCAACATGGAGAGCTAGAGAAATGACACACAGAAGAAAGTGGCACAAACGGACTAACGATTAGGACAAGAGCAAAGAAAATCGCTGTCTGCCACGAGCAAACGGATACGCCTTGACAGGATTACGCGATGCAGATATAGCAGCAACCGGATTACACGAAACAGATGATTACACAAAGCAGATGAGACAGAAATAGCGAACATTGCTGGAAAGAGAAGCATAGGCTCGAAGCTGAGGAGGCGAAGGAGTACGAATACACTTAGCATTCGTATAACATGCTCCTTGACACTCCTTAGGAGTTGCCAGTTCTACGGCTTAGGTGTCAGTGTCTTCGTCTCCTGGGCTGCTCAGGCGCTGGGAATAATTGGGGTAGCGGGTATGCTCAGGCCGCCAAGGTTGAGGAGGAGTTGCTGGAGATGATTGACCGAGAAGCTGACGGCAGCGAAAGCCTTGAGGGTTTCGTCTTGTGCCACTCCATTGTGCGAACTGTTGCTTTGTGGTTTTATGCTTATTTCGCCCATAGAGCCTTGTTTGTATTCCTTTCTATGAGGTGCATATTAATGTAAACTTGTTGGTGGCTTGCGACTTTTTCCTTATGTCAAATGAGCAACGCCTGCACGGAGTTATCGACAAAGGGATTGCGAGGCAGAGTTTAAGCTATTGTTTGAGGAAAAAGGTCTGCGACTCATGAGTGCTGCAGGCTGGAGGCACTGGTTCAGGCATGGGTTCTTATCTGCTGGAGTTGCTGGGAGACCGTTACGGCTCAAAGTTGGTGCAGAACTTTTCAGTCTTTCCTGTCTTAGGCGATGCCGCAAGTGACGTTGTGGTACAGCCCTATAATGCCCTGCTTACCCTTAAGCGCCTCTGCCTCCAAAGCGATGCTGTTGTAGTGCTTGATAACCACGCAGTCCACCGTGTTGCAGCCGACCGCCTGCGCCTCCCTAACCCCAGCTTTCAACAGACCAATGCCTTGGTAAGTTTCTTAGCAGGCAGTGCTTTTCTTTGCGCATCTAGCTGCCTTTGTGCCTCCATTAGTACAGCCACGTTCATGTTCCTCCACGCATCAGTACAGCCACGTTCATATGCCTTCATCGGCATTACATGGAGCTCTTTTTTAATTCAGTGCATGCACACGTTTCTGGTGCCCGGCACCTTGGAAAGAGGAGCCTAAGGTGACCCCTGCCAAATGGAATCAGGCAGCTAGAGCCGAGACCACCAATTATTGTTTTTGTTTGTGTGTATCTACCTGTGTCTATATACGTGCTACGTACCTTCTGAGTTCGTGTTCACGCAATGACCCCTTCATCATCTTTAGGCAGTAGCGCGACACACAATAGTGCTGCGCTTCTGGTACGCAAGTGACACTGTACACCCGCTTATTTTCGTCGTTCATGCTTATGCAGTTTCGAATGTGCGTCTTCTCTGTTGTCAATACCAATTTTAGTTCATCTGCGTCATAGTTCGAGCAGTTTCCTGCATCATTGCATCTCTTCTGTAATTCGTTCATCTTCGTGTGTACCAATACTTGGGAGTTCGTATCTATATTGGTGCGCCGCTCGTTTCGAGCGCGTAAGTTTCTGCCAGCGTGCAATCGACTTCGCCTTAAATTTTCCTTGCGTCGCCTGCAGTTGGCCTTACTTTTATCTGTGCCCGTCTATTGTTCAGTGCGTAAGTATGTGCGTCGTGTTATGCTTATTTTTCAGTTTCGGCCCATGCCCCTGTCTACATGTTTGTCTGTGCGCGTTTTTTTTCTCAGATTTCAACGGTGATGGCAGCGTGTACAGCGACTTTGCGTTATCCATCCTCTTTGTCTTCAAGCCTACTATCCCTTTTATCGTGCTTGGTCCCGGTTCCACGCTGTCACTTCTTGATGTGCGGATACACCCCAATGACGCTAGATCGCTGCGTCTCGACTGTGCAGAAGACGACCGTGATGGACATCATGCGGCGCCTCACCCAGTCCAAGAATGTCATGGTGCCTGTGCACTTACTCAGGCATACACGCAGCGAAAGGAAGGCATGACCACGAAACGCAGGAGCCGCAGCAAATGAGTAGAGATGCTTGCTAGCTTAGCAGTACCTATCTGCTAAAGAACGACACTAGGAAGACGGAGCCATTTCTCTCCCTTGCACGTCAAGCAGCCCTTGTGCTAAACACAGTGCATTTGGAATGCTATCTTTCAGCCAACATGTGTCAACGCAGTCTCTGACGTTGAAAGCCCTGCAGCAACTGCTGGGGTCTGCATACATTCGCTCGTATTCACATGTGCACAGAGTCGGGGAACCCCATACATGGATGGGTGCCTGCACAAGGATTGCTTATATGTACGCGAGAAAGCTTGCGCTTCATTACAGTCGGTGGAATTGGGATGGCTGTCTGTGAGCTCGCTGCTGAGACTGCAGGTCTCCACATCGCTCCGTCGTGGTCTATATATGTCACTTCTAAACGTTATCCGTGGCGAGGCAGATCCATTGCAGGTAAGACATGGCGGTTTAACAGCTGAAACAGTGCAGCCGCCGTCTGAACTAGAGTAACCATCCCTTCAGCGGCGCCTGTGCTGCATTCGTGGTGTTTTTTCGTTTGTTTCCACAGGTTCACAAGAGCTTGCAGCGCATCCGCGAGAGGCAGCTGCTGCAATTTATCCGCTGGGCACCGGCGTCTCCCCAGATTGTCTTAGCCCGAGCCTCGCCCTTCAGCCCTCAAAAGCACAAGTGCGCAGGCCTGATGCTCGCCAACCACACGGCAATTACAACTGTGGGTCACTCGTTCGTTGTTGCTGGTGGTGGCACTGCTGCGCCTGGGCAGTGTTAGGGGCGTTGGCGTCCTTATTAGGCCGTGTCTGCTGTTTCCGCCTTCCCGCAGCTCTGATTTCCGACTTACAGTCTTCCCGCGTGGTGCTGTTGCTGCTGGTGCTGTAGCTTTTTGAGCGGTGTGTGGTTCAGTACGATCGTCTTTTCAAGCGAAAGGCTTTTCTCGACAATTACAAGTAATGCTGCAGTAGTCTTGCCGCAGTTGCAGACCGTAGTTGTTGCAGCGTAGATGCAGCTGCTGATGCTGCCCATCCACCAGAGACGAAGCCGCAGTAGAGTGTGCGGCGAGTTCTGGTGCATTCGTCTTGTCACTGCAGACGACAACCGATGTTCAGCAGTTCTGATGGTCTCGGGGATTTTTCAGAAATGGAAGACTCCAAGTAAGAAGGCAACGTGATGACTGCTGCTGCGGACAAGCCACTTTTAGGACTCTATCAAGGCCGCTCGTCTGCTGCCACTTTGGATGGGTGCTCAGGGAGCACGTACTTAGCTTGGTCGAGGAGTACAGGCAGGCTGAGACCGACGACTTTCTTAGCTTTGGTGGTGAGGCTATTTGACTCATGCTGTCCCTGCTTTTGCAAATATGCTGCTAGGTTTAGGCAACCCACGTTGTTGCCCATTGCTGAGATGCAAACCGCTCTCGAGACAACTGTCTTCGAGGTGCTAACTGTGTTGCGCCTTCTCCGGTAACTGTGCTGGGTCTGTCTAACAGGTTCGTGCCCAATCTAGACCAAGCCAGGGCGACAGATGAAGTTTGAGCTACGTCCGACAGCTGCAGCATTCAAAGCAGCCGCAGCAGCCGTAGCACTAGCTAGGGCAAGAGACTATCTTTAGGATGCGCTTCGAGCCGTTCTTCATGCTGGGACATTTGGCCTTGATTTTCCGTTTCAAGGTAAAGGCGCTTGCTTCCTGGCAATACTTTTGTCCTTCACACCCTCTGGTTTTTCCTTGTTTTCATTCATATCGTCCCGCCTTGTGCCTTTCTCTTTTCCCTCTTTATGTATTGGCTCCGCTAGTGACGCGGAGCTTCGTTCCTGTCTAGCGGCGCTTTTTGTCGCATGCGTATCTTCGTATGGTCCCCTGTATTTGCTGGCAGCATCTTGTGCACTATTATCCCCCTGCCACCGCTTAGAAAGCGCAGGCAGGCGTTAGGGAGAATAACAAAGAGCATACTGAATTTCTTCACGAACAAGAAGTACACCCATACATGCGTACTTGTGTAACTTATCTTCATTTCAAGATAAGTTACACAAGTACGCATGTATGGGTGTACTGACAAAACGAGTGGCAGTTAGTTGGATAGCGCGGGCGGCAACTCCCGGCAGTGTAGTGGCTCTGCGTCACCACATGACCACTGACGGAAAGCTTGAGCGCGTGACAGTCACATACAAACCTCTGTGTACACCACTTACCCAGAAACAATTTTTTGATCGAGTTTCACACTCCGGGAAGTGTTGGCGCCCCCAAATATCCTGGCGCTGGGGGCTCCTTCTGAAGCTCTGAGTTCCATGACCAGTCAGAGAAAGGGTAACCTCGTATCGGTTGAAAAAGTCTGCGGATTTTATGGTCGCTGCTCGCGTTTTAGCTTATTTATTGGTTTCTGCAAATATCTAGTTAACGCATCAGGGTATCGGTACGGTGTTAGCTGTGCCACTAATCGCCAAAATCCGCGAACGGTTTCAAGTGTAGCAGGGCGCTACCTGTGCAGCGTTAACTGCTGCGAAACCCGATATGAGCAGCATATTAGCACACACATGACTGTCATGCAGCTGCACTCAGCGTTGATCAATTTTGGTCATTTTTGGTTTTTCATGCCAAAAGTAGCTGTGATATCGGAGTAGTACACAGTGCAGTTCACTGCCTGGAAGAGCTTGTCGCCAGCAGCTACTGAAGTTGTTTAGTTGGGACCTGTTGCAGTTCATGAACATTTCCAAGCTGGGCGCAAACTAAATCTCCTGCTAAGGATTGTTCAGAAGAACACACACTAGTAGTGCGGACTGGCCACGGGTTGTCGTGTTCAAGGGCACTACCAGTCCACTTGCTATAGCTGAAGTTGTCACTCTGCTTACGTGGGTGTCACCCAACATGAAAGGTGAGGAGAAGGCTTTTCTCTTGGTTGCCTTTAATGATACTGAGTGAGCTATGCACGGCAACTCATGATTCTACAAATGGCATCTTTCGTTGCCTGCTTTTATGACCCCAAGGATCAAACTCCAACGCACTGAACATTTCAGCCACCCATGATTCAAAACTGCCTAGGACGGTCTGTTCCGCGCGTTCGCAGGTTGCATAACGTGTCTAACAGGTGAGGTGTTGGGTAAATGTCTAGTAACTGCGGGTAGAAGGGTCCAGCACCAAATGATTCTTTTGCCTGTTTTGATGCCATGTTGTCTTCCTCTTTTGAACCGTGGATGAAGTGTCCTGTAAGGCAGGCGAAACAAAGAATCACCTGATGGTTGCTGCCTTCTTGCAATATTGTCACAAAGCAAGCCGGGTCTTAAGCACATGGCGGGCAAAAGTCCTCTCGTTGCTTGATGATCTACTTTGCTGTATTCAGCCTGTCGGTGGGATTCTTTGTGCTGACGCGACAGTATCAACTGTACGAGAAGGCGGAGGGGCATACGCTAGCTGTTATGTGTTTTTTATAGTTATAGCACTCAAGACCAGAAAGAAGTGCTTACAATCGAGAAATCCCGAAGCTTTTTCATGCGTTGATTCATAACTGACTCTTCCACTGCATCCGATTTGTTGACCCCCTATAGGCGGACCAGCGCTTATCAAGGAGTCATCGCGTAAATGCTCGTATCTGTATCTGGTCGGCTACAGCTTAAGCACTTTGCTCAGCTAATGCAGACGTCGAAGCGGCAATCTTCAACTACTGGGCGTTTAACTCACGAAGTTCAGTAAGCATCTGCGGGCATTCTTCGAAACTGCATGCCTACAGCTGTGTAGAGGAAGTGCTGGGAAGCAACTCTAGTACAACTCCACGGTAGCCCAATATTCCCCACTATACGTGAGTTCAACTGGAAGCCGCGAAAACACGCAATTGCTGAACGGCGCAATGAACGTTTACAAAAACGGCCAGCAATCTCATTTGCATTTACTGGTCAGCGTGAAAGGTGGTTCTCTGGTACAGCGAGCCGTGACAAAGTTTGGAGGCCCCGTTCCGGAACAAGAACGGGAGCAGAGAGAGTGGCAAAACCAATAAAGGTGAAGCGGGCAAGCTTGCAGGCAGCCGCCAACGTTTGCTGCTCAGGCAGTAAAGGCTCTCTGACAGAATTGCTCTATGGGCAAGCCATAACGACCCGCCGTTACGCGGGTGGCGTTCTCTTCATTAATGCCGGTTGCCCCCGCGTCTCAACAGTATGACTTTTGTTTGGTTCTGCGTTCCAGTACGCTTTGCAGCTGCATAAGGCCTACTCTTCCTTTGGCTCTATGTTGCGTGTATGCTCTTGCATCTGCTAGGCTTAGCAGTTCATAGCATGCATCTGGGCCTTCTCAACAGAAGCACAATTTCTCACGCTACTTCGATCCCTGCATTTTGTGTTTTATACCTACTTAGCACAATTTGTTCCTATCTTCTCACGTTCTTTCTAAGGGCCGCGCTTTTGTCCAAGAACTGGCGGCGCCGTCACCAGTTAGCATTTCGTTTCGTATGTCCTGTTCCTGCCCAAGTGTTTGCACTAATTATCAAAAGGCTCACCACATCGTTCCAAGAATGTATACACTGATACACTACGGCTCCAGAGAACTCCTTGGGTCTCTTAAATGTACTTCCACTGCAGTGGACGAAGACAGCAATCCAAGGGCAGACTGCCTTCACACGAGTCAGTATGCTGGTAGCTCGAACTACTACAGCACTAGTAACTGCTGGCAGCAAGTCAGTAAGCACGTTTGGGAAAATCTGTGCAGTGCAGGCTTAGACTGTCTAGCCGGTGGATATTTTACTTGCGCCGCCATTGCTGCCTCTTCTGCTGACAACCGAGGAAGCTGGCAGTTGGTTTTGTGGAGCAACAACGCCTGAGACCCCGTGCAATAGCATTTCGCTCGTTTGTTCATCTAGATTCAAATGCTTCGACACTGATAGCAACAGTGAGTGGACCTGCTCGGTCGCAATCCCATACAGGGACATGAATGAGCCAAACGACGGGAGACTGCTGCAGCAAGGGTTCTTCTCCCTGAACAGCTTTTCTTGTTGCTGCAACACCTCTGGGCCCGCGGCCTGCCACTTCTCTGACAGCTGAAACACGCCCAGACACTCACAAAACGACAAAATTGCAGGCTCGCTCGGTGAAGGAAGTCATGCAGCCATATGCCGTGTACTGCGTGGCAGAAGCACGCAAATTCTCACTTGCACGCACGCACGTATATGTACAAGCCTATTTGTAAAAGCCACAACAATCGCACTTTCGTCCGCGAGCCCGTCCTTTTGTGAGTGCTTCGATACGTGCAAGCAGGCATATTTGTAGGGGGAGTGGTGGCCGAGGGATCTTGCACGAGAGCATGTGCGCTCACTTTTTGCCGCTGAAGTTCTTCACTGACGGTTAACGCTAATGCCTCCTCCCAAAACGTCACGCGGTTCCAGTAGCGATGGTGGTATACACAACGCTGCAGCAATAGAATCGCAGCGGGATGAGGAACAAAACCGTTGCTCAGGATTCGTCTGACGCAAAGGAGAAGTCGGAAGCGCGAGCAGCAGCAGCAATTCAAACTCACATGAAGAGACCAACGGACTGTAGGGGGTTCTCTATCTTCTTTACATGCATCATTCTGGTTGCCTATGCTGCCACTGTTACCGCTAGTGCCAATGCTGGGCTGTGCGCATTGCTTCCCTAACTCCAGGCTCTCCGAAGTGGCATTCGGATAGTCTTCGCTGTTAAGCTGCTGCTGCAGTATCAATGCCTCATGCCAATCCCAATGCTGGTGTTGCTGAGGGTCATCTGCTGCGCTTCCAGGTGCAGCGATCTCCACAGCGAGCAATAACAGCTGCCTCCCCGACCAAGCATCTAGCTGAGTGTCGGCTGCCGTCAACAGCCATTCACACGAGGCTCCCAGGAGCCGCAGCTGCAGCCTAGAAAAACATCGACCTCAGCCGCAACAGTTACACTGTTCGCCATCAAAATTCTAAGGCTTTGGCAGCAACCGCTACACGAGCAAGGGCAGGAGCGTACACACAATGCTGCAGCATAAGTTGCCCCACCAGCAGCACATGTGAGGGAACAAAAACAGCGAAAAAACGCAAAATGGCACTGCATCTCTATTTAGCAAGGAAACTGCATAAAATTACTCGGCGATAGCAGCCTGAACAATGGCAGCAACCCCAAAACGCAGCAGCCTCAAGTGCAGTCTCCCTCTTACATAGAAGGCAGCAGTGCTTGTCTGTCAGGCATTTCTTCAGCTTTCTTCCGCTTTGTAGCCACCAGCGCAGACAGGAATACATTCCTGTGCAGTGATGATGTGAGCTCTTCCTGCAAGAGGGGCATCTTGTGAAGCAGCAACGCGCATGTCTCAGCAGGCAGCAAGACGCCCTTGCCAGGTACCTGCATAACGGGTGTCCACAGTGCGTTTATAAACCTGAGACGTATCAAGCACCGGCACAGACAAAAGAACCCACTCGATAGCAAAGCAGCAGTGTAGTGTGAAAAGGCGCAAATTCTACGCTCTGCAGCGCAAGCCTTAGCAAGAAGGTACCCGGAATAGTCTTCCCGAAGGCGCTGCAGCACCGCATCATCTGGAGGGCTCGATAGCCCCTGGATGCCTTCAGTCCCTGCACGCACTTGCTTGTCTGGGGCCTCTGCAGCAGAAGTGTCAGGAACTCCTATTGAATAAGCAGCTAAACTCTGCGCACACGAAGGCAATTAAAAGCTTTACGGGCAATGCCAAGTGCTCGAAGGCCCCTTGACCAAATCCGCAAAGTCAGCAGCAACAGAAGCAGGTCTTGATGTTCCTCGTGGAGACATTGCGATGTTGCAGCAAGAAAGCTAAGTGAAGCGGATGCAGCACCATTTTCACAAATAAAATCATTTTCCGAGGATCCAACTAACCGCTGCAGATTGGACGACTCTTTGTAGCGGAGACTTCTGCAACAGCTGTCGTGCCACGCTCGTGGCAGAGGACAGGGGCGTGGCGGCAGTGTTTGTGTGCGTGTTACAGACAGCCGGCTGTAGGCTGTCTCCGTATACGGCGTCTAACACAGTCCATTTCTCCTTGATACAGCGACAAGAACACAGAAACACAAGATGCATTGCCTCAGACGCAACTACAAGACAACCATCTGCGGCATTATGAGTTAAAACTTGTAGCTCAGTGACGAGTGTCAAGAGGTACAAGATGCAGCAATAGGGAGAGCAGCATCAGCAAACTGACAACTGTAGGAAGCGAGACGTTCAGATGCGTTTGCAGTCTCCGCTCATCGACGAATTCTCGCAGATCTGATTCAGGGTCGACTCCTTCCACGCTCTGCAACAGTAACACAAATATGGGCTCACTTGTGGAACAGAGACAGAAAACTTTTCGAAACGAGCTGCACATGCAACAGCATCGAGAGCTGCTAATGTCGCACTTTCGGTCTTACCAAGTGCTGTAGCACAAGCAGCCCAAACTGAAGCAGCAACTCACTTGGATACAGCGCTCTAAATCATACTGCATGTGCCTCAGGTTCGCTGCCACAAAAACGCCGGCCCTTGTCAGTGCATCTTTGAGGCACTGCATGCGTTTTAAGTCCATCTCCTCTAAACAAGACAAGATACTACGCACCCTATCACGTGTTGCTGCGCTACGCTGTTGTAAAGCCTGAAGAAGTCAAGAGAAAAGTTCAGCTAGAGTTGAATAGAAGAACAAGAGGGCTAAAGACGCAAACGCGCAGGCTCACATCAACGCGAGACGGGCCGGTCAACTGCTGCACGAGGCAATAATTGAGAATGAACAAAGACATACGCAAAATGAAGTGGAAGAGAGGCTCGTAAACATCAAAGTTACGGGTAAGGAAGGAACAAACTCAGCAAAATAAGTAGGATGAGAGCAAATTTGCATTCCGATTACGACAACCGTCTGAATTGTTTAACGGGAACACGAAGCCCAAAAGCACTGAAAGCAGCCTGGAATTTTGAAAAGGGAAGGAGCACATCCAGTAAACCCAGTTACATTACTAAGGCACGCAGTATATGGATGCGCGTACTCACTGCGGACAAAGTATAGCGGAAGCTATACTAAATCCGCAGCTACACGGATGTCCCACGGAAGGCCGACCTGCACTGCTATCACGTAGGCCTCCTCTGCTTGCCGAGCCTCCACAGATAGCCGTATACACCTGCAGTACACGAAAGTAGCACGCACGATTGTGCCTTCAAGCAACTGGACGCGCGTAATAGCAGATAGCACTGCGGTAGCATAAGGAGCACTGGCCAGGGCAAGGACAACGCATCACGGGGGAACACAGGGAAAGCACTACTGACTGAAGCGCCAGCTCCGTCTTTGTTGAGGGCAGCAAAGACAGTGAGGCCTGTGCAGTCTCTGCTGCTGCGACAGCTAGTTTGCTGCAGCGCAGGTACTTTTCCATTGCCTACCCAGACACGCACACACAAGTAACTGGTGATGGTGTTTCTCGCGATATTGTTTATCGGAGACCTGCTGCTGCTGCTTTTGTCAATGCAGCCGCTGCTGTGAATACTTGCTCTGTACGTGCCGCTCTTGCTGCTCTGAGGACTGTTATATGCAGACCCGCTGATGTTCAACGGCGGCTAGGTGATTTCGCCTCTGGGCCTCTGCAGCGTCCACCTTGACCTGAACATAAACATAGATTATGGCAGGAGGGAATTCATTACCGACAGTACAAGCTTCCGCCTGAGTGTAAGCCACGACGATGGAAGGATGGGAGGTGAGGCACAGCCTTTTGAGTTCACCCTCAGGCACATGCAAATACACTGGCTCCGCCCTATCCCACTCTCCATTAGCGACCTTGACGATAAGAAACATCCACAAAAATACTAGCCACTGTCCTGCTGCCAAGCGATTCAGCGCTAAGTAATAAAGACAAAACCGGGGTGCCACAAGGACACCAGTGACAGACAAGCTACGGGCTCATCAGCGCGTGAGCATGCAACATGCGTGTGCTTGCTTCTTCGCTCTTTCTACACCACCAAATCTCCCTCTTGCCATGTCTCTTGCTCCACACAGAGATGAACGTGAGCCCGGGCGACCTGTTTGAGGACTTGGGCATGGTTCTCAATTGTCCTATCAAGTGTAGATGCAACAACGTCTCTTCGGAGGGCATCAGAGAGCTCTTTTGCTTGCAAGGCAGAACTGCCTAACAGGCAGCTGTAACTCTCCACAGCGGCAGCACATGTCCTGTCATAACCATCACGCACACACACACACACCCACACACCCACCCACCCACCCACCCACACACACACACACACACACACACACACACACACACACACACACACACACAAATACACGTACCATCGATGCGGCCTGTATATATTGCAATCTCTTTGTATGTCTGTTTCTCCTATTGTCCCGAACATCTTCGGGTCCGTCCCTCAAGCGGTTCGGTTCTCTTTGTATCTTAGTGAGGCCGCGTACCTTGACTCTGAAGACAGAGGCTTCAGAGTGGCAGCCGCGCTGTTCAGTGACGCAGCATACGTTGACGCTGCGGCTGCCTGTTGAAGCAGCGCTCCCCGCAGTCTCTCCAACAGCAGCCGGCCCGCCTCTACGCGCTGTACCGCCGCGTTCAAGTCATGCTGCCTGATGGGAAAAAAGACGTCCACATGTATAGGCACAGGCATCCATGCAAGTGTCTCCAGAACTACAGTGAGAAGTGAACTGCGTACACAGGTAGAGAGCAACAAGATGGATTGACGCTACCAGTTCAAAAACAAACAAGATAGAGCTAACGCGCTGAGGAGACAAGTCGCAAAGGCAACTTATGGCATCCCTGGGGACGAAGAATGAAGCAGGCAGAGAATGTTCAGACATAAATCAAACACGAATGCCCAGGATTTGTTGGCCAGCACCTGATAGCGGCTGAAGGGCACTGAAGTTATAGAGTTACTCAAAAACACCGCTACGTGGCACCCTAAAGGAGCACAAAAGGGAGAAATTAGCCATTCAGATGCTGACTAGCTGCAGTCATATGGACGTATTAGACATGCAGATCAGAAATAGCAAGCAAAGACAGCCATAATGACGAGCGAGGGCGAGCGAAGGCACAGATGCGCCAACGACGCCGATAAGCTCACAGTACATCGATGAAAGTGCTCCTATCTCCTTCAGATCTGTTGGTTGCGACATTTTTAGAATCTTCATTTGCGTTGTCTGCAACTTTCCTTCCCACCGGTGCTGTTTGTAATGAGGATGCTGTTGAGTTACCAGATGCTGCGTTGGCTACTGTAGATGAACCGCTGCCTGGAGCCTCGCCTGCACCTCCCTGCGCCTTATTGGCTTCAACTGCGTCTCCTGGCATTGCGCTTTCTTCCCCACCCACCGGCGCTGCAGTACCTGGGGTTTCCTGGTTCCGTGATATTGCTGCACTCGACAGTGTAGCCGACTTTGCTGCTGCTGCTGCTTCGCCGGCCATAAGCGTGTCTGGTGACTGATGGCGAGGTGGTTCAGCCTCCGCGGGGGACATATTTGTGGTCTGAGTTTGGCTGGCAGCGCATGCAAGTATCCTGCTTGCTGCTTCGAGTTTGAGGTCTATTGCCGACGGTAGAACTCGTACAACGATACTAAGTTTGCCCAAAGGCCCCGTGTCCCTGGTACCTCTAGCGTCGCTGTGTCTGTCGTCGCAAGTCCTTCCAACAAGCACACTCATACGCCAGTGCATCATCACATGTACTAGAATAATATAAGTATTGTTGGGGTCGCTTGCATTAGCTGGAAGACGGGTCCGCCCTAGACACCTGGGGCTGTCTGTCGCCGCAGAGTTGTCACAGTAACCGACAAGCCAAGGCATGTAAACGTGGAGGAACAACACAAAATGTAACTAGTGCGAAATTACAATAAGTAGATGTATCAGTAAAAGACTTCCGATTTGAGATTCTACCGTATCGCATCTAGGCAGTTGACCTGGCAGTGACGGACTTTGGCGCATTGGAGCCCAATATGCATGTTGTATTTTCACGATTAGAGCCCCAATTTTTTTGTATTATTCCAGATATTGCGTTTTTAAAACCTTTAGTGAGTTTTGGGCAAAGCAGTGCAGGGCCCAACGCCGGTAGGCCCTCAGGGGCCTGTTATGGGAGCGTGCTTTCGCGCCATCCTAACTAGTAGAACTAGTGAAGCATGCCCCCAAATCCCTACAGGTCGTTATAGTATCTAAAGGGGGCCTATTGGGCCGTTTCGACGGGAGTAACTTAACAACCCTCATGTTCCCTTATTACGGGCGTACGGGGGACGCATGGCGGACTGGAGACGGTGACATAAAGAGATCCTATCAAGGTTCAAAATGGACTGTTTTTGCAGGTCATGATTGGGCTAATCTCCAGGACAAACACAACCAAATGAGCGAAAGATGGGAAATCCTGCTGGAGTCCTGGGTGAAATTGCTTGTCTGGCTGATAACCCCTGCATGCCAATCTGAGCAGGGGCACTGCTCATGCATTCTTGAAAAGTAAATGCGGTGCTTCTAGGTCAAGTCTCAGCCAAGGCAGGCGTCGGGATGGCGGCACAACCTCGCAGTGAACTCTTTGCGTTGCGCCGCTGACGACATCGTCTCTTCATTGCCTTTCCACTAGTGAGGTACCGAAGACACCGGCTTGGGCTGGCCTCCTACAGCCTTGCGTTCTTTTTTTGCTGGATCCCGCATGGACTGCTTCTAGGGGAGCATTTTCTATCATCCTTGAGTTGCAGAATGAAAATTAGTTCCTTTTACTCCCTAGCAGGGAGCAGCCGCCCTAATGTGACAACGTCAAGGCGACTAGGCGTCGCTGGCATCGTGGCCTACGCGCCCTGAGAGGCCTTTGTGACCTGCGTTTTCGAGGTAGGCTAGCTGTTAACTACCACTGCCGCTGTTGTTTTAAGTTGAAAGTGTTTCAAGTACACCATAGAATCTACGGTTAAAGTCATGTTGGCGTCTGCGCCCGAGAAGATACGTTCTTCTGACGCAGCCTTCCAGAATTGGTAGGTGTACGGAGTTCCATCAGTGCGTAACTGACAGACCGTCTGAGGTCCTCACAATGAGTATATTTTATATGTGGTGTCTACGCTGGAGGTTTTCAAAGACCACACAATAATTGGAAACCCCTCAATGCTCCAAGCAAAATATTTTTGAGCCAGGATTATGGGGAGACAAAAGCTTCATACATTATGGGATTACCCTGCTGCACTCTATATCTCCACAGGGCAGTGGCACGGCTGTAAACTGTCTGCAATGCGACCAACAATGTACTTCGGAGATGGAGTTTCTATGTGGAACAATGAAGGTCTTTGGTGAGGGACAAGCAAGAAAAGAATCAAAAGAACAAAATCACCTTCAGAGCCTCCTTCACCTTGAGGAGAATCGTTCCGTTGATATGGGAGGGGACCCTAGGCAGTGGGGCTCTGGGCTGGATTGACGCCCAACAGGAAATATTCTACTGTGTTTGAAGCATTTGAAGCACACTGGACACTTGCAGAGGCTTTTAGTAGGTTCTGCATTATTATGATAGATCCGGGCAGCATCCAGTAAGGGGCAGGCCACGGAGAATTCGCTAGACTGCCTAGAACTATTGGAGGGGGCATTGTATTTAAAAAAGCGTGATACCATCGGCGTCTGAAGCGCGAAATCCCATAGAGACTTGAATGTGGCAACAACGGAAGGGTGAGCAGTGGTGTCGGCATTCTGAAAGGAAGTAGCGAAATCATACACTCACACATGCGGGAAGCAAGCGGCAAAAGATGAAAAGTAGAAGAAGACTGAAGCCACATAAAGGCTGTCAGGGGCGAGAAAAAGCAGCAGTCCAAGCGCAGAACATGGTGTGACCGCAAGGACAGCTACGGCACCGCGGTGGCATGAGACGATTTTATAGCCGCCAGCGCCCGAATGCAGTTCTGTCCCAAGTTCCTAAGTGCATGCAAAAGCATATCATTTATCTCAAGTATGCTGCCGACGCAAAAAGTGTAAAACTTCCAACTAGCCAGGGCCACTCTTTTATGGCATGGCACGCTGAACAAAGAGACTTATATCCCAGTTTCTTTGCACTGCAACGTCTTGCCGCATGTGCACGAAGCCGTAACTTGTCGATGCCGTCTAAAGACGTTTTTAGTCTCAGTCGGACAGATACACTTGTTGATTGCGCAAAGGCTTCTGCTGTCGCCATGTAAAGTCTTAAAAAAAGAGTTGTGTACAACACCCTACAAGTTCCCACGATACGGAGTCCCACGTGCCACAAACCCACGCATTCAGCCACACTTTAGATGCGATATCTGTGCAGTGGCACGAAAAGAGAGATTTCTTCCTTCATGGCTTCAGACCCTCTTTTTAATTCGGACCTGTGGCAGCACATCCGCATTTGTTTCACTATCAAGCGGGACGCGAAATATGCTTTTTACCACCAGCGAGTCGTGAAATATGCCTTTTACCACCAGAGAGACACACGCCGATCGCGCTAATAGTACTCTGGAGCAGATGCCCCCCAGTGTCACCCAGTGGCACTCGCCGAAACGAAACAATAGCGATCGGTCGTATCATGCTTGCCGCAGCAGGTCTAGTCCCAACGCTTTCACCTCCTTGGCACTGCTGCTTCAACAACACGGCGGTCATCGCAGAGCAATATCTGTGACAGCAGCACGCGCAGGCTCATCGGGGTCTGACAGTGACTGTGCTGTTGGAGAAAGTGCGCGGCCCAGCAGGTAGCACTCGCACGCAGTCACTGAATGCCCTGAAAATGAACACCGTTTTGCGGCTATATCGTAGCCACTGGGCGAATCGGCAAAAATACCTCCCCACACTTGGTGTTCTCTCCCATTTGTTCCTGCTACGGTACTATTAGATATCCCAGAGCATCCTTTCTTTGAGACCCTGCTTTGGTCGCCACGTGAGCCGCTTCTGGCTGGCCTCCTGTATTGATCTCGGCGGGCAACAGTATAAAACAACACGAGGTGGGCTAAATCGTCCACGACCAGGGCACTGCAGACGATGCTCAACTTCTTGCCACGCAGGGATGCTCACCTGGAAGACTGGCCACGTGGTGGCCTGCCTGCTATCTGTTTGACTGCCCTGATGTACAGAATTTCAACACCCGCGCATAAACGAAGGTGGCCCAGTTGGCGCCGTAAGGCGCCATGAGAGAAGTCGGAAGGGTCAGTGTTTGCAGCAGCGGCTGTGTCAGCAACATATACAGCAACTGCAGCAGCAGCGCCAAGTTGAGATAGGTGAACAGCAGCAGCAGCTGGAACAAGAACAGAAGCACCAGCTGGCGTAGGAACCGTAGCATATGCCTCAGAAAAACGAGTAGCTGCCGCAACACCTACTGCATAAGTAGCACCAGCAGCGACGGCCTCCTCGATTGCCACCGAACTTTCAGAGGCAGAAACCGAGACAACTGCGGCAAGAACCGGAGATAAAGCAGCTATTTCAATAGCAGCTGAAACAGCAACCAGACCTGTATATGGAGCTGGAACAGCAGATGCAAAAGCTAAAACAATTGCAGCTGCAGGAGCAGCACCTCAGCGAGGAGTAGAAATACCAAACGCAAACTGCAACAAACGCAATTGCAGGCCAAGGAGAGCCAACTGGGAGAAACACCAAAGAAAAACCACCGTGATATGAGAGAGGGAAAGAGAAAACAGAGAAGCTTTTGAATGCTGAAGGCAGCAAAGGAACGGGAGGCCGAGATGGGACGAGCACGGGGTCACCAGTCGGCAGCGTGAATAGTGAAGGGAGGACGTTGTTGTGCAGGGGAAAACAATGAAACGATAACGTGGCCTACAAAAACGCAACGTGAGTCAAATTTAACACACCCAAAGTACAGTTGAGTGTATTGCTTGGGTTTGGGCCCTGCTGTGACCCAGTGGGGATTGGAGAGACTTTGAGTAATTTGAGGTCAAGCTCTAGGAATAAAGTCCTGCTTGAATTTAATCTTTCTCACAGCACCCGGTTTTTACGCGTGAACCGTTTTCCTCCTTTTAAAAAATTCACAATGCCCAAGGTATGGTAAGCACTTCATCTTGAAAAATCGACTATACTAAAGGAAGCAACTTGTTCGCGGAATACACTTGGTATGGGACGCTGCACTACAATATTGGGCGGATACAACCTCGAAATGTTAGAATATTCAGTAGTGTATTGATCGAGAGTGACTAGAGAGGAGTTTGTTGAAGAAACCTGGTCCTTGGACAGCAAGCCGGAACACGCGTCGTTCAGGACGCTGAACGACAAAATCGAAGACAAAATCCAAAGCTTGCAATACTTAGTATTGTATAGTCATAAAAATTGACTAGAGAGGAATTTGTCAAAAGAAATGTGCCTTTGTTGCACAGTTGGCAGTCTCGCTGCCTCAGCAGGCTCTACCACCGGTGATCGCCGAGGGATACACTCCTAAAACGGCTTAATTGGTGTTTTGGATGCCAATAGATGATTACGTATCCATGCTGGTAGTTCGGATATCTGTACGCGATCGGGCTGCCGAATGATCACTGAGGGTCACTGTCCGCTTTCCTGCACATTTTTGGCCGTATGTTAGGTAATTTTACATTTGACGGGTCAGGTACCGTTAGTTTAGCGGTGAGCAGTGGCGAACTTAGCATGTGTTCCACTGGGGAACTTTTCCACCACAACACACTCAGATAAAGCAGCTTTGATACGAATCCGCTTTGTTTTGTTCAGGAAGACTAGTTGGCGTCGCCACAGACACCACCGCTAGAGTACGGAGCCACGCAACCATCCACTGCTGCGGAGAAAGCCAATTGCTCCTACGGGTACCAGGTTCAGCCGTTGCCTTCAGAATCGCCTCATAAATTATGTTTTAAGCGGCACCTCGTGGAAGTTCGGCCTTCTTTGTCGGCGCCAGAATAGTCTCGTTTCCGGCCCTGTGCAGGTACAGTGTCTATAAGGACTCCACCTAGATGATGCTGCAAGTATGAAGTGGCATTCCTTTTGTACTTTACGTTGTACATTACCTTGTACATTGCTTTGTCGCAAAAGCCGCACAACATAGACGTCACAAGCTGCCACCAGTGGTCGAACTAGAAACTTGCCGGGATATTATGACACGGCAATAGTGAATACTTCGGGAAAGAAACTGTCCCCAGTGCAATGCACTTTTCTGGGCAAGAGGCCTTGCCGGACGCATGAAATGCTTGGGGATGGCCAAAATACTTGTACCGCGCTGCACTGCTTAAAGCACTGGAACGTTTAATGGTTTAATGGCCGGTAGTGATATCAATATTGCTCAAGTTAGGCTATTCCGCTGCGTGCTGCAAACATCGCACACAGGTCTTTAGGGCCTTCACACCACGTGACGTGGAGCCCCAGATAAGCCGTCTCGGAAGCCATGTCACAGCCCTATTGCAGCCAAGAAGCCCTTAAAGATTACTTGAATATATAGTCTTAGCGGCACGTACCAGTGAGCTTCTATATGTATCTTAAATTTGCTTCTGACTGAAACTTGGAGGTGATCGCCTGACTGCCATCCTCTACGGCCAAAAGAATAGGCGCTACACGACGCCCTCCAAGCAGTTTTACATTGTTACGTAGGCAAAGTTGGGCATTATATCTGTCTAATCATCTCCACGAAAATTTGCCCGGCCTGCCAGGACATGCGACTGCTCCTCCGGAAGAGAGCTGCCAAGAATGCTGCGAGCCAGCGCCCTCATTCGTCGCACGGCCTCCAATTTATAACCAGTTTTTTTGCAGAATCCATGTAAGAACAGGGGCATAGTTTACAGATTGCGGCCTTCCCAAGCAGGATGGCCTGTTTCTCAAGGATCGGATCCCTTAACGGATAGAGAAGTGCCGCGTCCGATACCAATTCTCATTTGTTAGCACAACGTTGAAAATTCACAACACACATTTTACGTGTAAAATCTCGCGCGAAAGATGTGGAAACTTCCCTGCATAAATTTCACTCTATAACGGGAGATTCCGACAGCCACTGCAAAGCCTCCAGTTTTGTTGTGTTTCACTCCTCTCTGTTAGTGAACAGGAAACGACTCGAATTGAGCTTAGGCTTTACACCGGCCTTCGTCATCCCGTTTCGTTTACCTGAGTTCGAGCTGTTGGCCATTTCGTATTCATTGTTACCTATCCAGCTCGCTGCATCACAATTTATAGTCTGAAGGTCAAAGCACTCAGCAAAAAACTGCAAGATAATAGAGGACCAAGCGTGTATACTTCACAACTTGCCAAGGTAACCCTTAGTATCACCCCGAGTGCCAATGCCCCACAGCAAAGCATACTTGTGAAGGAATGCAGACTACAGTAAACTGTTGGAAATGAAGGATGTGTGAGGAAAAAGCGTGGCATCCTCCTCAGCGTGCAGCAGCGCAGCGCTCAATATCCTATGACAGATCTCAAAAGTAGGTCACGCAATCCACATACATGAATAGCAGACAGCATGAACAAGAGATTATATGATTGTGCTTTCTCGTGTAGGCAGAATTTGAGCCAGGTTAGACTCGTTTTGCCCCTGTAAGCTCAACGACAGCGATAAGAGCACACCGTATATATGTGCTGTGCTCCCACAAACGCCTAAAGCCGCTGCAATAGCCGCCGCTGTACAGAAGCGGCCCATTCCAACTCGTCTGCTCTCCAAGATTTCCAAGACGTGCTCCTGAACTTCACGTTGGTGGGGTCGCACAGAAGGCACCGCTTTAAATTGACTACCGTGTATGCCGAAGGCCGCCCACCACTTCTGTATACGTCAAGAGCGCTGGCTAATGCTTTGGAAAGCTCAATGTTTTTCTTCTGCTTACCGACATACAGCCACTTTTCCGCCCTAAAGTGCTGAACTGCGTCCCTTACGCGGTTCATTAGCTGTGGCCACCACAGTTCTCTCTGTGCATTTGATCCAAGTGCTTCAGCTGCGCAGAACAGCGCGTCTACTAGAAGAAAGATGGTTCCCAGTATCTCGACATAATGATATGGCCATTTTCGCGGCGCCGTAACAGGCATGTTATTTTGCGAGTATCCATACAGGCGTTCGGCTGCCTCTACAAGAGCATCCTGGCTGCTTTCATTTAGCGTTTCCTGCTTCAAAAGGTCCTTCACAAGAGCGAGAAGTCGAAAGGGCCTGCTTTTTATTTGATTGTATGTTAAAGCCAGAACCAAACTGAAAACTCTGTTACCGGGTGCTGGTGGTTTAGCAGGCAGGCGGTAAAAAGGGTGGCTGTCCATGAATTCCCTTTGTTGTAGTGCAGCTACTATAGCACACCCTCCAGAAATTCCAGAAGTCATCGTTGAAGACTGCCCAGGCTGCAAGAGAAGGTGTAAACAAAAGCACAGTTCTTGCTAGTTTCGCGTTGGAGATGCAACAGGAGCAAGCAGTTACACTAAAGCATGGCTTCTGCAGCATTGAAAGGCTCACAAAAGGAAAGATTGCTTACCATGCTGCATAAATCCTCGCCCTCGAGCCAACGGCGAGGTAAAGGCCGTACCTCTTCACCAAAGAGACTTCTCTTAAGTACGGGCCCTCCAAGTGCGCCAGACATATCCAGCTCCTCTAAGTATGAGTCCAATGCTTCTTCGTCATTTGAATAAAACGCTGTGCCCTACAAAGATGCGACAGGTGCAGAGTTTTGCCGATAATTAAGTGGGAGGCGTTTCCGCAATACGCATTTCTGGAGCCTCACGTGGCTTAGGGCCAGGGCAGAAGAAATTTCAACTAAACTTTGTGTTCAGCTCCATCACTGACTTGCATTCCACCTTCTGAAGCGTAATCAAGCATTGGTGCCCGGACACTAGGTCCAAGTGAAAACTCTCCAGGACTTTCTGGGAATATCGGCGCATTGGCTATTATTGAAGAATGACTTGGGCCGCCGATCACTGTCTGATGCAGATTGCTACGAAATCCGCTTGTTCTTTGTGAGCGTGAATTAGGGCTCTGTAACCACTCCTGCGCGGTCCTCGCATCGCCCTGCGGAGCAAAGCATTCGAAAGCGCCACTCCCTTCTGCGCCAACAGAAGAGCCCTTCGGCAACAGTGCGCTTCCTGGAAATGGCGATTGCTCGACTACTCCAGGAGCTCCACGCGAGTTAGCACTGCCTGGTTGGCCGAGACTGCTGGGATATTCGTCAGTGTTCTCCATGTGTTGAGTGACTTCTCGTAACCACTCCTGTACGGCTCCCGAATCATCCTCCGGAGAATACGACGCGGATACATTCCCCGTTTCTACGTTGGAAGAAGAGGCTCCTGGTAGCACTACAGCTCCTGGCAGTGGAAATCCTCCAACACTTCCATGAGATTGTTGAGAGTTATCTTTTCTTGATTGGCCGAGGCTTCGGCGAAATTCACCAGTGCTTCCCATGTGCTGCTTGACTTCTCGTATCCACTCCATTACAGCTGTCGCATCGTCCTCCGGATAAAATAAGGTAAAATTCTCAGATTTCGCGGAAGAAGGGTCTTCTGGCAGCACTCCATCACTTCGGCCTGGCAGTCGCTCGACTCCTCCATGAACGTTACGCGGGTTTTCATTCCCTGGTTGGCCGAAATTGTTACAAAGTTCGCTACTGCCTGGCACTTGTAAATTGGGGTCTGCTAACCACCAGCCTCCACCGACAGCATGATGGCGACTCAAACTGCTGTCCAGATGCTCGCCTAAGAAAAATGTTGGTGCATATTGCTGCCGCTCTACGGCTCCCACAGCGCCACCCACGCCACGCAGTGCCTTATGAGATAATGCCGATGTGCTTTGATGTGGGATATTTGGATCACTCTGAACGTTGCTAGTTTTGACGCGTTTTGTCCTACTGCTCGACGCACTTCCGTGACGTTTTCGGGCACGCGTTGCAACGTCTTCAAAGTTCGCCCCGAGCCAGGGACCTGAGTTCGATGTCTCGCTCTGCTGGGGTTCCTCCAGCCGTTTACCGTGTCTTCCAGAACCTAGATCTGACTTGGCTTCCCGCTTGCCATCACCTTGCGCTGGCTCCTCTGTTGAGTCCAGCCCTTCGGCTACAAAATTCGCTTCCTCTCCAGACAATTTGCTTTGATGTTCCTCTAAAATATGAAGAGGGGAACGCAGCAGAGTAGACTGCGGAGGCCTCTCTGGCATAGTGACAGTATTCAGTTGAGATTCTTGACACTCGTACAAGGCCTCGCAGAACGACGTGTAAGCGCCGCCGCCTGATGTAGCTTCGGAGTTTTCTCCAGCAGCGAGTCTCCGACTACTCGGCCACGACGATAATCGCCTTATGACAAACACGCTGCATGCATGCAACATTAATGCCACTGCTGTGACAGAGGCAAACGCTACAAGTCTATGAAGCGCCTTCGACGACATCCGCAGACGATGCCAGCCAACCCGGCGGTTATTCCACGAGCCATGCTGTGTTTCGATTCTATCTGAAGGTATTGAAGGCATGGACTCCACAGATTGCATGAAATCGTAAGGAATAGCTCCCACATTTTGACTCTCTGTGGGTAGCAAGAGACTCCCCATGTTTTCTCACGATCACCACGCGTCTATGTCAAAATTTTCCTCACTCCCCCCGCATAGATTTGCAGCTGCCGTAAAAGCCAAGCAGACTTCCAAGCTGAACAAGCTGCAAGTTCTGGGTAAGGATTGTACTTCTGGTAGCGGCAATGAAATGAGTTCTTGCTAGAGACCTTATAAACATACCACTGCTTGCACGTACACTGAATGGCATATCTTGACTAGGGGTTGCAAGTTGGAGTCACTTATGTGTCGAAAAATGAACACTGGCCTGAACACGCTTTTAGAAATTCGTAGAAGCTGCAAAGCTATCGTCGAATACAGCTCAGCGGTCAGTCTGCTCTGTGTCGATCATCATGCGTCGGCGTCGATTCCTCAGGTACCTGTAAACAACGCCGACCTCTGTTGCACAAATTATTTATTGGAAAACAAGACAAATCCTGCTGGGTCTTCCTTAACTCTGCTCACGAACTTCATTGGCGGTCACATTAAAATGTCAGGACCTCCGTGGTAGCGGCTGTCCTTTCACTTGAAGCTTCCTGCTTGGTCTCAAGATGCATCCTCGCTCAAGAGACTAACTTCCCAGAAAGGCGCTTCTTTCACCTGCTCCATGCCATGAAACTTTCTCAAGCGCAGCTGGTTGTGAAACCTAGCTCTCCCACGACTCTTACGCCGAAAGAACGAAGCGACTGCACAGGAAACAAAAGAACGAAGCGACTGCACAGGGAAGAAGGAAGTATGAAGAAAGAACCTTATTAAGAGGTGGTGTGGATGCTGTAGAGGCCTACGGATAAGCTCGTAGACTGAAGCGATGCTAGACAAAGGATCGCTACTCTCGACCGCTCAGAATAATTTCAGTGTCAACTAGCCTATGCAACACGAAATTATATGAGAAATGACAAGTCAATGCTTGTCCTTTTCGCTTTGGCGGCGCGCATGCTCGCTTGTGCGCTCTCCAGCTGCTCTTTTGCAACCGATCAGTCGAGGGCAACAACAAGTGCAGCAGCTTCCGTCCTACCAACAGGTTCAGGCTATGATTAGTCTGGGATAATAACCCTAAATACTGTAGTTAAGGTAACACGAGCCTGTTAAACGGGTTGACAGCATCCACTGTACGTCAACGCTGTACTTTCGTGCACAAGCTTTCATCACTGTTTGCTGTCGACCCTGCCAACTGTTTCGTGTGATTGCGAAGTACAGGGTAACTACTCCAAACACCTAGTTTTACATTACTTGGGCAATAGCTTGTAAGTATATTGAAATCTTAGACATTTTAAAACAGGTAAAAGACAGGCTTTGCTGCTGTCTGACGGTTCATGTCTTCAGGAGAGGCGTCCACCTCAAACAGATCTCGACACTGGACAATTACCTTGAACACTGCCTATGCCTGCTCGATCCAGAAATTCTTCACCATAAATGAGCGCTTTTTAGTAAATGTATGACTATACTATTTCCCCATCATGCCGTGGGATGCATGAATGTCTCTTGAGTAAATGATCCTCCAAAGCCAACTGGGTAAGAGGCACAAATAACAGTCGTCTGTCACTAGCCTATGGAGGTCCGCTGGATCTAATGCCAATAAACTTTAGGCAACGTACTGTACACTGTACAAAATATTTTTCAGGCGTTGAGATCCGCTTGCCTCCCCATGTCCTAGCTTGCGCTGGGTGTTGGTCCCGCCTCCTCAAGCTCATCTTTTTCATAATTTTACTCGAATTTTTACCTTGGGCGCCTTTCTAAGTACCAGCCAGGACTGTGAAATGCGTGCAAGAGTTAACATTGACTCCCCGCACCACAGTTCACTCCAGCTCTGAGCTGGATCGCGCGAAGAGCCATATCCGGTGCCTCTATCTGACTTTGTGTGGTGCTCTGTATTTCATACGGATGCAGTGAATATCACTGCAACCTAAACAACTGCTTTCATTGGGTCGATGCCGCCTTATGACCAAGGTCTTTTAGAATAGGACCAGACTCATGGAAGTAGTAAACTTAGCATACTAGTGAAGAAAGCCGACAGCAAGTTCTGAGCTAATTCGTGCCAGTCACAATCTTTGCGAAAACCACAACATGTACTATTTGGCAGCGTTTGCAGTCACCATTGGTTCTGCGCTATTTGAACGTATACGCACTAGGTAGCTGAGAGATAAGTCTACATGTAGGGAATAAGAAACCTTTGAAGTTTTCAAATTCCCTTCCGATGAAAAGTTAACCTGTTTTGCCCATGTCCCTTCCCTTGCGCCTGCTTACTTCCTTGGGAAGTCTCAAGCGGCCGCAACACTAGCAGATTTGGGCACTCGATGAGTCACTGAGTCACTGCTTGCAGCTTCAGGATGAAGAACCTTTGAGTTCGTCACAGATTATGCAATGACAACTACCAGATATGCACACAAGCTTAAAGCTGCATTACGCTTGTGCAGCTGCCGCTAGTAAGAACGAAAAATGAGAGAATTTTGGAACCCAGGTACAGCGTAATGCTGGGTGTTGGACTGGTTATGTTCTGGACAGCGAAATCCTGCTGCAGGGATGTGGTGCTCCACTTGCAGTAGCTCAGCAGCGGGCTAGCACAGACGGGTTGCGCTTCGTCAACAATTTTTCATGGATTATATAGGCTAAAGCAAACTCCTGAAATTGCGTCTGGGCACGGCGCTCTGATAACTGTCACTCTAAAACACATTTGGGGGTGCCCTAGGTAGCACGTAGCAGATCTTTTTCGCGTGAGCTGAACTGGCGCCAAATTCTTGAATTCATGCTTGCCGCGTCAAGCCCTGCCTAATGTCACGTTGATGCTCCTCGTACTCTTCCGCAAACCCTTCATCTGCAGTTACAGAGATCACGGAAACGACTCCAGGGCAAGTATAGCTGCCGTTACTCTTGAGCTGCTTAGAACAAGGATACTTGGGGCGCATTAAACATTGCCGAGCCATTTTTGCGAGCAAGTAAACGGAATCACACCAAGCCAAATGTTCCCGGAAAACCAGTTGGGTGTTTTGTAGGTTGGGTGGAGCTGCTGTGAGTCTCATTAGCGCACAAACCAATCTGGAGTACCTTCCACAGATGGTGACATTGTTCTTTCGTTAGAAATACTCTTTCATCATAGACCTCAAAGGCAGTTGAAGCCACGAAATCAAAAGGTTTCTAGTCAATAGAACGTAAGATAAATTCGGTTGAAAAGTAGACAACCTCCCAACTGAAACGGAATGAAGAAGCACCTATTCTTGTAAGCGATGATCAAACGCTCCCAGTTGTGAGAATGATTCAACCAGTGCGTTTCATGCTCCTCATTTAAACATTTTCATCGCCTATGCTAGTTGCTTAGCCTACAATGAGCATGTTTCCAAGAGCTGCAGGAGTCCGTCTCTACTCAAGAACGCAACATCAGTATTTCACATTGAAAAGTTCAACATTTACTGCAACATCTACTTCAGTAAATTAAGCAGGTTCGCAAAAGGGTTTGTCATCAGTTTCATTCCCGGAAAGCTCTCAGAGTGAGCAATGTTACGCCCATAAATTTGCACTGCAGGCCTACAGTTCCGAAATTCATATCACTGGGCTAACAAAAAAAAGAAGTGAAACACTACGCCACGTTCCATAAAATTGTGAGTACACTGCACAGATCTTGTTGGCAAAGTCGGAATATCCCATCCCAGCACCAATCCACCGGAATATTACATACATCACGAAAAGGATGCACATTGAAACACCCAGGTAAACAGTGAAGTATCTGCTCTAGCCCCATAAATGGCCAGCATAGAATGCACCTGAGCTGAAGCTCAAATCACGGCAAAGTGCGTAAACGCACATGCCTGAGTTAGAAAGGTCTGGCAGCGAATCACTAACAACAAACAGCCGTTCCATTCAATCAGCTCTGGCGTAATTTCTCCAGTGCCCTGGGTAAACAGCTCATTTCCGTTGGCTTCGCGTCGCTTTTACGTTTCCGAACAGAGAACAAGCCGGCTTACTGCTTGCCTCTTCAGCCGCTAACGCTGCCACTACAGTCAGCATTTCGTAGAGTATTTCCACGAAAGTTCATCTCTTCTCCACCGCTCCCATGACACAGCTGTTTGCTTGAAGATGCCAAGATCACAGAAGAGCGAACGCTTCAATCCGACAACAACCTCCGCAGAGGGGCGAAAGCCAGTTCTGTAGGTGCGAAGAGCAATTAATAACCTTCTGCAAATATCAATATACTTACATGATGCGCTTCTATTGTTACCGATTGAGACGCTCGTGACCATTAGAGGGCTTAAGTGCTCCATCATCTTCGGCCACCATTCCGCACTTTTTGCATTCGGGCCAAGGACCTGGACTGCACAGTACAGGGTGTCCAGTAGTAAAAAAGCACGCCCAAGAGTCCATGCTAAGCGGGCTGGCTGGGAATACGGCAAGACGAGCGGCAGGTTGCACATAGCAAACCCGTATAAGCGTTCTGTCTCCCTTATCATAATTTCGAATTGATGCTTGGAGAGTTCTCGCTTCTTCAGGAGATCCTTGATAACAATAATAGAATGCATAGGCCTTCTCCTTACATACGACATGGCATCAGCGGCGGCTTTGTCGAAATGTTTATCACTGATCCCAGGAGTTACAACTGGAAGGCGATAAAAAGGATGGTTACGAAGATCTCTATCGGGCGGCTCATCGGCTGCACAAGCAGACTCTTCAGCAGCCGAAGGATGCAATGCGGGGGGTATTACCACCTTGGAACAAAACACATAGAAAAAGAGCTCGCGCATTGACCCCATGCACGACCAGTGCCGGAAAATGAAGGAGAAGAAGCAAAGCACGGCAAAAGAAACACTATGCGTTTTGGGTAGGCCGCCATGTGCGCTGCACTACATGGGGGGTTACGTTGCCAATTGTAAAACAGAAGCACTTGAGGAAGACACACGCACCTCTAAATCTGAAGGCTGTGTTGCCAGAGAGGGCGGCTCAATGTGTCTCAAAACCAAATGCGAGCCGCCTGGAGGTGTAGGCACGACACGAAGAGAAATGCTTGCCGCGATTTCTCTGCGTTGAGACGACGCTGTTCCCTGTGCACAATATTTGCCCAGAGCAAACAAAAATTAGTGACGGACTCTGCAGAGACTAAGCGAAATGTGCTTTATGTACTCAGCAAAACTTACTGTGACGAGCAAGGCTAGCAAAATCGTTAGTCCCAAATAATATGACCCAATACTTGCCTGCTTAGATGTTGAGGCTTCCGCAGACATATGCATCTTCTTTGTAGATACCTGTGAAGGCCTTCCAGCTACTGCATCTCCTGAACAATTTGTCGTTTTAGCGTTACACTGCGCTACTTCGATACTGCGATGAATTGCTGGCGCCTGTTGAGGATCGGCGGCACATTTGCTGCTCGGCGCCTGTAAAAGGACGCGACTCCGCCGTTGCCGGCCAGTCTCCACTACGTTTTGTGGCAGTAGCCGTGTTGCAGAACTCTTCACCGCTGCATCTGCAGACGAGATCGTAGAAGAAGCCTTGGCGTGTGAAGCGCTTTCCTCCTGGAGTGGAGCTTTAGGGTGTTGTGGGTAAACGGGTAATGATACCCGTAAACTGCCTTTGAAGGGGTTGCCACTCGGCAGTTTCGTGGTAGAGTGAAGAGGAGAAGTCTTCAATTTTGCTCCAGCAAGATTATTCTGCGGCGTCCTCACATGGTTACCATGTAAAGCAAAACTTGGCGAGGCGCTTACCAAACTTGAACTGCTCTGTTGTGAGTCTTTCGTGACAGCCTCTGAAGGCTCAAGGGTGTCACATGCAGGCAAAGTACATAAGCGTATTTTAGGAAGTTTATCTTCTAAACTGAGGGCATTCATACACCCCACGGGTTGTTCCGAAGGGAGAGTATTCGTCCTCGTGAAGAAATAAGGTTGTCCTGCAGCCTTTGAGCCAGCCATGTCCCCCACCACCCCTCCAAGTGCATATGTGCCAGACTTCGGTGGCTCTTGTGAGATACTGCTAAAAGCAGAAATGTCATCCTGCGTATGTGCAGGCAAACCATCAAGCCATGCATCCACAGTTGTCACATCTTCGGGAGAAAAGCGTGCCGAGAGATAGTCCGCACCTGTGCCTGCAACAAAACCTCCCTGATAAATTGGGGCACCCGGAAAAGCAGCATTATCACTCTCTTCGGGATAGCTGTGGCTCTGACCAGGTGGTGGAAGGTTTATATTGCCATCGAAGTGGCTACTGCGTGGCATGCCTGCATTGGGGTCAAGCCAAGACGCCTCGAAATGTACACCATCCCCCTCTTCGAGCAAGCGCTCTAGGTAAATATCTAGCGAACGTAGAATTCGGCAGCTTTCCGGCGAACCCATATTCTTCAGGACATCCCGCGAGCTACCAGTCAATCCTGAAAGTTGTGGGCTTCCTTGAAGTGATGGGCCTGCATTGTTGGGAGGAGAGCTAGTCATTTGTGTTTGTACTGTATGATGGACATCTTTTGGATTCTCTTTTCCTTCTTGTGATGAGTGTTCAGAGTTTTGGTGAAAATTTGAGGCGCAGTTTGGCAGTTGTTCCTGCGATTGCACCTTAGCTGCCTTTGTTTGTCGCTTGGGTTCTGATTGTTTCTGCTCGCTGACACTGAACTGGAGCTTCCTCTTTCCACTGCGTGCACGCTGTTGCACCGTAGAGTCGAACCCTTCTGGTGTAGACTCTTTCCTCCCTGCTGCATGTTCAGGCCTCTCTTCGGATGAAATAGGCAACGATACACCCAAAGCTTTGTGACTTGTGGGGCGCTTTGAATCCACTGGTAGATTCGCATTCAACTCCGTTTTACTGTATGCGGGCAGTTTCTCAAAGACGCATGGTTGCGTCGTGCCACGGTCGTCCCCAGGTGTAACCTCTGAACTGTGCCCAGCAACTTCTGAACTATGCCCACTACCCAGCCTTCTTCCCACTGGCCACTTTGACAATGGACCAGCAATCAGAGCACTGCAGATATATACCAGGAATGCCACTGTTGTCACTGCAACAAGCGCTGCGACCCTGTAAAAGGCTCTTGAAGGCCGTGATGGCGGGTGCAAACTGACCCAGGGACTACGGCAACCTCCTCTCAGCACCCTGCATCTTTTTGAGAGTAGTCTGTGCAGGGTATAATCAGGGGGTGTTCCCAAGACTAGTTCATTTGGAAGCAGAGCGTAATGCGTCATGGTATTTCTCGACTGCCCAGATCTTGCCTGCACCTTGGCCGCACGCCACCCACACAGAAGCCGCAGATGCCCTAAATATTTACCTTATTCCTGCGCGGGGAAAAAATGTGCTACAGGCAGCGACTCTCCTGCAGCTAATCTGATGAGACAGTCTAGGGTTGACGCTGTGAGATCAGTTGACGCTCACAGCCTGCATGTAACCGAAATGCCTCGGCCCGCTCAGAAGCTGCGACCGGCGGCCACCTTTCGGGTGACAGATATAATTCACCCTGAAACATACTGTTAATTCTTCTTTATAACTTTAAACTGCCTTTGAACACTGCATTGCGGCCAATCAGCATCGAGTGGACCACCAGATCCCATCGTCGATTCTGTGGCCACCCCCTGGTCATCGGGTGCCGTCGGTGGAGAAGAATAATTACCAAGACGATCAGGGCATTATCAGGACATTTTCCTGACTTATACTCCCAAGAATCAGTGGCAGTCGAAAAACACTGCTGCGAGCAGTGTGAGTGGGCATGCTATTTGCGGTTTGTTGCTTACCGCGGTAGCGCAATTCAGCTTTGAGAAACTGCACACTCACTTCTTCTTTACGCTACCGGTCCCAGTTGCTGCAGAAGATAGCACAAACATAAATACTACTGGGGAACATACAGCATAAGTCTCTCAACTCTCGCAGTCGCCGCGGTGTACTTTTTTTCTCGCCCCGCTTTGAAAATTACATTGCGCGCAGCCTACGAGTTGTTCTGCATGCGATGCCCATTTGAGTAAATGACAGTCACGTTGCTATCAGAGGCGCTAGGGAGCATTTGCTGCTTCCCCGTCTCCCATGACACCACTAGACGCAGCACAGGTGAAACTAGGAGAGATTTACCACGCGTTTTGTGGTAGAAGGATGTCATCTACGGGAAGTGAAAATGGGTTCCCTCTAAGTGATAGAAAAACGCGGGCATAACCCCTGCACGAATTAGCGTAATGAAAAGACTCGGGGGTTTCCGTTCCGTTCACAGGCATCGGCGTCTGCAAAACACCTGTCCAGAAGCTTCAAAAGGACTTAATAAATTTCAACACCTCCGTTCTCAGATCAGGATGTATCTATTACAAGCACTTCTGCTTGTGTCGTTCGAGGTTCAGCAAACTCTCTGATCCCCGCGTTTGCTTTGTTTTTCGGCTACTTTTGCTCAGTCGTAGATGTGGCCTGTGATGAGATTCGGGCAAGTTGTCGCTGCCCTGTTATGGTCGCTGTGCAAAGGATTCCAGCACATATTCGGATAATGTGATTGCTGTGCTTGCTGTATCTGCCGCTGCTGTCACTGCATTTGGTGTTGTTGCATTTTTAGGAGCTGTCGCTGTGCTTGCTGTCCGTGCGACTGATTTTGACCCGGTAGCATGAGTCTGTTGCTGTCTTTTGAAGCTACTGCTACTGCCGAAGGTGCCGCTGCTGCTCTCCTCACTGCTGCGACTGTGTGTTTTATCATGGTTCTCTGTTGCTGTTGTCCATGCTGCTCCTGTACTTTTTTACCTTTTGTAGTAGCTGCGTTGCTGTTTCTTCTGCCGGTGCCGGTGTTTCAGTCACTATTCTCGCTGCCGTTCTCATTGACTGCGGACTTTTCTTTGCGGCACTGGTTCCGTTGTTCCAGCTGTTGCCTACTGCAGCAGTGGCTTCAGCTGCTTGCTTTGCTGCTGCGGCGGTGCGTGCCTCGCGTAGTCGCCAAAGAAATGCATAACTTCCCATCTCATCGTATCTGACATGGCGCAGTAGTACACAATCGTCTGTTTGATTGAGAAACCTATATTCATTCCTGGCTTTACTAGCCTGATTTACAACAAGCTGCTGGTCGTTATTCTATTTATCTCGGTTTGCGTCCTTGCATGAAAGGGAAGGAAGTGTTTGTGATTTATGTCACTTTAATTCAACACGTGTCCATTTTTGTACTAAAAAATGTTGTCATGTCCGTCTATTGAACGGCACGCACGCGCATTTGAGTCCGCAAGTGTGTGTGTGCGCTTACTTTGATGCAGTGTCTGCGCACCCTTGCGGCACAACTACGTGGCCGTGCGACTGTAAATCGTTGTGCAGTTTTCAGTGTACATGTGTATTTTTCTTATGCATGAGAGCATGGTTGAGAATGAACCCTCACTCTCATTTCTACCCGCGCGACAGTACCCAGGCTGCATCCTGGGTCTTCTCTTGCGCTGAAGACTTTAAGTGTTGCAGACGAACTGTAGTGATTGACAAGGTTGCGCAGTGTTCATGCAGAGAGAAACACGGGATAAGGGAGGTGACGGGCAGGTCCCTGGATTTCTACATCGGAAAGTCAGAAAGGAGGAGAAATACGAAGGGGGTGACAACATAGAACGTCAGAAGTGGGGACCGAAATCGGTGTACTCTCCGGAGATATTGCCTTCAAGCAAGGAAAGTAAAAGCAAGCGAATTGAGCGGGTTAAGAGCTCCCACGTGCACTAGTCTCCAGAGGAGCTTTGCCACTTTGGGAGGTAGTTTCGGCACAAGTACCTCGCTAGTTCATTATTAATCAGCTTCAGACAAGCACATGGGATTGCTGCCCGGACGCGTCTGTTACGGGGAGCCAACCACCCACAGTTTCCTCCGCTATTATAGAGTTGCCTCTTGAGGCACAGGAAAGGCATCTTGAAAAGCTCGGGTTGGGGAAACGCGAAGGGAGTGACCGGCCTTGCTAGTTCGTCTCGTGACCAGGAAGGGTAGTCGATGAAGAGATTCAAATGTCTGTAGGGTGTTGAGAAGTGGTAACTTCTTATTTTTGAACTACATTTTGTCTTGTGCAACACTCCAAAGATCATGTGTCGAGCCTGCGCACGTTTTCGAACGCCAACTGGCAAGTAAGAATTGGGGCCGCGTCAGAGTGGACTGCTCTTGAAAAGTCTTGTTGATACGCGACGCAGAGGCTGGAGTGATGGCGTCTATAGAATGGAAGTCGGTGGCACTCAGGCGCTCCTGACAGATCATCCCCTAGAAAGCTGTGAGCTCACCAGGGGAGTAGCTTGTCGTGTTGTAATTTAGCTCAAGCATATAAAGCAACCGCTTCCGTCAGCGCGCATCTCACTGTATGTAAGCAAGAAATACCTGCTTCATAGGGTTCTCAATATTGTCGGGCTGATCATCACAAAGAACTGCTAAAGTTTCACTTTGTGGATTTGCTCGCGGAGAGCTTTTGCCCGAGTGCATATCACAGAAGAAGGCTTCTTCACGAAACTAGCATTTCGGGAAATCTGTGGCAACGAATGAAAAGCTTGACTAGCTCGATTGTGCGCACTGTGGTAGTCGTTTTTGTAGTGGCGGTAAACGATTCATTCTGTTGAGACAAAATACAAGTACACGGCTAGGATCCGGGTTAGAGACGATTCGAGGATGCCGGTTATTAACTTAAGCATCTGGAGTAAGTAGCCGACGGCTGAAGTAGGCATAGTGACACTTTGGGGCTTTATAAGGTCTAGAAGTGCACACACGACTGAAGTTGTGCGGTGGAACAGGTGCGTATGCTTGACCAGTAGTAATCTCTGTTCAGAGCGGGGAAGCTTGCTCTTGTTGCTGGCGGCCTGCACTTAACGGTATTCATGATTTGTATATCGGGTTCGTGAAACCGAGGCGCAGAAGAAGGTTGCATTACGTTGGCACAAACACATAAAGGGAGGAACTCGAAGGAGAAAGCCACCCGTTACAGAGCTTCGGTTGCTTGCCTTCTGCGGCTGCTGTCCGTCGAAAGCGTAGGGCTAGCGGAATATTGGATGAAAACTAAGGCTTTACGGAAAAGGAAGTGGCCTGCTTCAGATGGAGGTTTGCCACTAATGTACAATGCAGCCAATAGAGTAGAGGACCTGAGTCAGAGCAGCAGCTAGGTGAGGACGGTAAAGACAAGCTACCTGGAGTACTTTCACTCTCGGGAAGACAAAATAGGGGGCCAAAGAAGTACATGAGCGCTGTTATTCTGTTCAAGCTGCTACGTCGTTGACATGAAGGGGTCAACCTATCTATGGGAAGTGACTGAGAGACTAACCAGTCTTGGTGAACCTTCAGCTGCAAATTAGAAGGGGTGCCCTTTACACTGGATCGGCCTCCTCGCTTGTGGTTGCTTGATGGTAATGCATTGGAACTCTCGCATCCTGCATAGGCTGAGCCTTCGAGGTACGAGTAGCACGGCTTCGCAATGCCGAAGTTTTTAAGGAAAGGCTTTCTGGAGCTGTATGAACATTATATGCAGCAGAGGACCAGTATGACGCGGTGAGAGCGCAGAATTGGGTGGCACGAAGTCCTTTTCTACTCTCACCAAGCATATAGTTTCTTTTCAAGCTATTGGCTATGCGCAAAAAGACGCCACCTACGTCTATCGATTCTCACAGTATACTTTCAGGTCCACAGGGCTCTTTGCATCCACGTTAGCTTTTGGCAATAACGCGTTACCGTATGTGCGGGACTCGAAAACAACATTAAGGACTTCGGAAACCTGTTCACCGAATATCTGTGAAGCCGTTTAAAAGTTCTTGAGATGAAGACAGCTGACGTCACTTCATCCGCTACAGCCAGTATCAATACTGGGCTTCAATATGACGCTGAGAGAGAGCGCGCGCGGGAAAGTCGCACTGTGGAGTTGGAGCAGATGAACGTGAGCAAGGCTTGCTCTAGCTGCACAGGATAAGCTGCAAACAATTCGAGGTAAAATGCACAATAATTGACATCAGCGCACCAAATACATTGGTGTTTGTCACAACTACCTGCATGTGTCTCTTCACAACATCCCCCGATTCATGCCTTGTAACCACTGAGACAGCCAGTGAAGACAAAAAGACTAGACATAGTGGTGAGTGACTAAGATACTTTTGCCAGTGCATCTACTCGCACGTGCGAGACGCAATAGCGCGGCAGAAAGTGCTGCTAACTAAACAGGAAGACGTGGTGGACTATGCGAATGCTGGAAAGTGGCAGTCTGCTCGAATGCAGCTTTCGCTCACAGGTTCGCCGTTCGTCTGCTAGTGAGTTAAAAATAACGTCAGGAATCCACGCGCACTGGGCACTTCAAGTGCCGTCGAAAAGTACAGAAATGATGAATGCAATATTTTAGATGTGCGCTGTGTGCTAAAAGCTTGCGGGTGTGCATTTATACGATAAACAGCCACTGCCATTCGACATACGCTAAAGAAAGGCCATAAAAATTTTCAAAACCTTTCAGTTTTATTTGATCTGCTGGGGTGGTCTGCCTTGAGCAAACCCTTCAGTTTGGCGCAAGAGCAGCCCACAATGAAGCATGTTCAATTTCTGGTGTTTATTGGAGATTCATGTATCTTTAGCAGTGGAACCAGCTTGAATCTTGAGCACACTATAGGTCAATGCTTCTTCAGGAGTCACAGTGCGCTAGCATTCAACTAAACAAACCCAACATAAATGAAAAAAAAATTCGAGTAAAAACAGTTCTCCGGTGTAAGCGCCACCACACCAAGTGTCGAAGACATAGTGTTTCTAATAGAAGTAGCCTTTTCTTGCTTGAGCTCAGTAGCCACAAGAAGCCGTTGTAAGTGACTCCGCGGGCCTCGCGCATGAGCGGGCCGTACACAGATTGCCGAAGAGTAGTTGACCCGAATCATGCCGGGTTTAGTCTTCCAGAGGATTTCAGTCGCTCTTCAGCTCATCGTCCCGCTGCCTTCGTGCCCAATTATACTTCACCAAAGTCTACTCCATTCTTGATCATCATATTGGAATGGTTCCCAGAAGGCCTTCTGAAGTCCAAGAGCTAGCTGAGTATATATGATGCCTCGCTTCAACGCGATGACTAACATCGCTGGCGGACGCCTGCCACGCTTGTAATAATCAAGACCTGTATTGAGGGCTTGCGACAATTGGATGTACTTACGTGTTGCTGGGTTTGGATGTGACTTGGCTTTGGGAACCTCAAAGGAGGGAATGCCTCTGATGACATCATCCCACCACTCATTTCGCCTTGCCTGTGCTCCCAGCACTTCGCTGACAGCGAATAACGCATCTAGAACCACGAACGCGATCTCCAGCTTACTGCAAACAAGCCTTGGCCTCAAACCAGTAAGGTCACAGTCCATCTGGAAGATTGCAAAGCTGACGAGGTACTCAAGACAGATCATAAGTTGGTGCAAATCTTCTGAGCCGACGAAGGGCGGCTTAAGCAACTGCCGCACTGATGACAGTGTAAAGAAAGGACGTGAGCGCCAAGCGGTGCATTGAAAAGTATTACTCCTCATGAATGCTCTCACAGACGCACCAGGCAGCACCCTCGGTAGCCTAAAAAACGGGTGTGTCTCGAGATCTTTCCCCCCGCCATCTTCCAATGAGTGTATTGAACCGGCAGAAGGCTTACAATTGCCACACGCCAGTGCAGTCGTCTGCAAATTACGACACCAACATGATTATTCTTCTATCTGTGCATGAAGCTCAAAAAGGACTGGGGACAGACTCGAATGCATTGCTAGATGTTACTTTATACCAAGGAAACCAAATGCATATGCCTTCACAGAAATATGTTCTTCAACTACTCCACGTGTCTGGCTTAGAGAGCGGCGCGAAAGCTGATGGGATGAGGCATTGACGCACCTCGTTGTTCGAGCTTGGATCAGAAAGGCCGATGGAGCCTTGTTGAGAGTCCATCCTACAACCGCAGTCGTCAGAGTGCACTGAATGTGCTGGGCGCTGCTCATTGGCCACGGCTTGTGAAGAGGTTGCTAAACAGTTGGCTGCTACATTCTGAGGCGCCTGACAAGACAGTGGCAGATCGAGCATCAGCGTACCACTATTCTTCACATTCTGGAAAGGTACAACACAATGTAAATATGCAAATTCGAACACACAGATAGACATCAACGCAAGCGTTTGGAAGTGCCTTTACAGAAATATCGCCTGCAACTGCTCCATATGTTCAACTACGAGGGCGGCACGAAAGCTTATGGGATAAGGCACTGATGCACCTCAGCGTTTCCACTTTGCTCAGAGAAGTCTATGCGGCGTTGTTGAGAGCCATCCGCATGGCATTGGCGAGGAAACGTCGTGAGATCACAGGGATCAGAGTACAGTGATTGCATGGCACGCTGGTCATTCGGCACGGTTTCTGAAGAGGGTGCTTGCCAGTCGTGCGCAATGACCTGGGCCGCCTCAGGAGACAGCAGAGGAGCACAGGAAAAAAAATTTTAAAAGAAAGCAAATGTTTAAAACGCCTAACGGAAGCTCCGTTTCCACATCATACTTCGTTTTAGAATAAAAATGCATGGAATTGCATACCTCCTGAACCAACCCCTGATGATTTGGGCCACCGTAGCCTTGCTCAGTGCATGACTTGCTTTTAGAATGGGATGGCGTTGCAGATTTTACTTTTTCGGTTGCTGCCTGTGGGAAGAGTGAATGCGACCCCTGTCGGACAATCTGCACTGCCTGAAGAGGCACTGCAACGTCTGAAGACCCACACGCTGACGGTAAACGTGACGTGCTACAGCGCATCATTTTTCGGCCTTTCGTGACACGAGTGCTGCCTCCCTCATTAATGAAGCTATTAGTCATAACACTACTTCCCGTTGCTAAGGGACTAGTGCCGGATTGCATATGCTGGCACCCTCTACCAGAAGTGGCAGCTGCTCGCAGAACCCTGCTTGGCTCGAGAAACCAATCATCTGAAGCGATGTCTGCATATGCTATTGTGGAAACCTCATCTGTGTGCTCAGTAAAGTGCAAGTGTAGATCTGGGAAAGGGGGTACTTCTTCTGAAAGCTTCGGGGACCACAAAGCTTCTTTCTGCAGGCCTGACGATTTCTCCAGGCCTTCGGATACTTCATTTCTTCTCCTTTTACGTCTATTGGCGCCATTACTATCTTCAGACGAATCGGCGCCTGAAGTTTGAGGGTCCCTTTCTTGAAGCTGTTCCGTTGACGACGGTTGAAAATCTGCCGATCCACACGCTGGTCGGCCGCTGGCTTCCGTCAAGCTAGTTTCTGTTGCTTCCTTTACTTTTGCCAGCCTGCGACTTGCACTGTATGGCAGTGGTGCGTTTCTGCGGAATGCGGAGCAATAGGAAACAAAGAAGAGAATTGCAAAGACTGATGCAAACGCATATAAAGCAACTGTAGCTGGGAAGCTGCAGTTCCACCGGCATCTAGAGCTTGACCCTGGGTCATGAATATCATGGTGCGTCGTTTTTCCGTCCCATGTAAAAGTGGTGCCCGTATGCTTTTCGCGTAGATAACTTCGGCTCCTGTACTCTAGTGCTGAAGACAAGTCCGACATTGATGCGCCGGCTTCCATAAAATCCTTGGGGTATTGTCAATGAAAAGGACAGCTGTTATTACTATTAAAATTTACAGGAATATGTTGTTTCTAAGTAAACACGGACGCAACTGCTGTGGCCACGCTTTCACTGAACTGCTGCTTCATTGGGGGTTGTCGAACTGAGGCCTAAAGCAGACTTACGGAAGGCAGCAGCGCATAAGCTAAACTTGGCTCCCAACAGGAGCCACGTTTTTCAGCAGTATTTGAACTATAATAATATTTAGGAAGCGATCTGTCTCGTGCGATTCTGATGAGTCTCCGCGTCATCCAGCAAATTGGATCTGCTCGCTGCCATTCCGATCCACCCGCGTTTAAGCCGATGTCCGCTAGCTATCTTAAGCTCAAGCCTTGAAACGCCTTCCTTCACATAAATATGGGCGATATACTTACAAATATTTCTGTGCACTCAAGGTATTCTGGGCCTGCAATTTCTTGAGATAGATGCATCGATACGCCTCTCGGGTGTTGACCATTCCAGTCACCATGCTAATTAGAACTTTGTTCATGCAACTGCACATGGCAGTATCAAAAGCATTATTGCAAACTAAAAGTCTTAATGCAAAATATTCCGTAGCGGCCGGCTAATGTTTCAATCAAGCTTTGTCTTGCAAAGAAACCATCTGCAGCCTTTAAATTGCCTATGGCGCACCAGATGCGCTTGTAAAGTGAAGCTAACGGCAGTTCTTCATTGTATTGCTAGCAGTACCTTTTCATGACTTTGCATTGCAGTGGCTTGCAGTGGCATTCCCTCTGCTCGAGAGAACGCTGGTCGAGCAGTGCGTCCCTCTTCAAATAAGCTGCGGCTGGTAGGGGACGGCACAGCCACGCACAATGGACAGTCGAAGAGTAAAGAAGAAATATAGATACCTGGATATTTGTTGGAACCAGGACGAATCCTGAAACAGTGCGTGCCATCTTGTGGCGGAGAATTTCCTTCGTAGCTGGAACGCGCGCCGATGCTGACGCAGCATTCTCACAAATATGCACACAACTTTAGAAGTTTGCCCCTATGTTTTGCAACTTGTCATTGTGCTGGTGAGCACATTACGGAACAGGAGCATTCTTTTGCGAAAAAAAACTTTTGTACATTCCAGAACTGCTGTGTTCCTCGCGCGAAACGTGTATCCAGGTCACTTTACCTCTAATGCTGGCACGTAACGCAGCTTGGAGATGGCAGGTTCCCTGCTTAACCATCAAACGCACTTTTCTTTAAGTAAACGTGTTCCCGTGCCATGCCAACACACTCGCACAAATCACCTCTGCACGCGGAGGATTCGCAGGTCATGAAGAATTACGCCATTGATGATCATCTTGCTCCCATTCAGTCCACTTGCTTCTGCGGAGCCTAGGGATTGCGGCTGTGCAAAACATGCATTGCTTTAAAGGAACCAACAATTCAGGCGGAGGACGACTTTTCTTCTTGTAAAACTGCAGCATTTCACGTAGTAATTGCGCCAATTCGACATTTTTTCTCGCTCTTCTATCTTTTGCAACACTTGGAGGCGGGTCTTCGTAATGTGGGACTGAATTAATCACGGAATCCCACCAATCATCACTCTTCGACCGTGCTCCTAAAATCTGGGTTGCAGCATATAGGGAATCAACGATTAACAAAGAAATCGCTAGACTCTCGACGGCGAGGGACGGTACCACATCGTTCACGTTCCTTTTCATATCGCGAGAAGCATAAGCAACCAGCACTTCTGCGGAACTCATCAGGTACTCCAGGTGGTGCGACTGGAGCACTGGCAGTTTCAGCACATTTTTCACATTCTGAAGGGCGTAGAAAGGGAATATCCTCTTTCGACCTAGGTTGAGTGATGCATCGTGGCTGAATTCTCTCACGACCGCTCCAGGAGCCACCGGCGGAAGCCTGAAGAAGGGGTGTGTTTTGATGTCCTTTTTGCCCATCAGAACCGAAGAAGTGAATGTGCCCATCAGGGCGGCTGAATTGGCACTCATGATTCGCAGTACCTGAGAAGTAATTCAGTGAATACAGCGAAACGTGTCAGAGCTCGAAAATACTACGGGGCAATCTAACGAAAAAATCAGCAAGAAGAGCGTTTCGTCAAACACAGCGCGTCTTGCCACAAAGAACGCTGCAATACTCTGCTTGGTAGGTATGTGCAGATAACAGCACAACAATATATTATTTGCGATACCTGGTCTGTGGCAACATATTCGTGGAGAGGAGATTCGTTCACTTGAAATTCAGGCTGTCCAAAAACGCCGCTTAAGTAAACAGGATACTGTTGCATAGTTCGAATACCTTCAGCAGGAAATTGCTTTTCTAGTTGGACGCCTTGAAACAACTGCACAAAAAAGTGAAACACCTCCAAAAGAGTATGCATGCTTTTACAAAGATGCCGTCGACAGGCAGTGCGCTGCTCATTAAGGACACAGGGACGGCACCACAACAAAATATAATTTGCCGTACCTGGATTGTAGTAGCTTGCTCATGAGAAGTGCCCACTTGACTTTCAGCTGGTCGGAAAAACTCCCTTGGGTATCCAGGATAATGTTGCATGGCACAACTATCGTCAGGAGGAAAGTGGCTTCCTTCCTGAACCCCTTGAAAAGGTTGTAGAAGTTGCCCCATCTCTGAAGGCTCATTTGCAGACGTCGCTGGCGTTACGCTTGGCTGAGATGACTCTTGCATGCCTGACGAAGTGGAATATGTACCATCTGTGGCCAACTGAACTATAAAATGGGTCGGGAAAGGTTTTTCGGAGTAACCGATGTACGACTGCTGCGTGCGAGATGCAATCGACTGAACTGGCATAGCACTTGGTGCATCCATTGCGGCATCAAAACAATGACTATCTGCTGACGTGCATGCGGCATTTGTCGCCGCCTCTTGCATGGAGTCTGTATTTAGGTGTATTTCTGCCGCGAAAAAACCTGTGCGTGGGGTGTCCGCAATCTCATATCCTGAATGCTGTTTAGAGCGTCCCTGATCAGCCGACTCGTCCTCCCGCTGAGCCTTATGGTATTTCACGACTTTGCTACAATCAGATGCTCCACTGATCCGTACACTGGAAGAGTGCCAGGACGCCGAGCCACTATTTGGAGCTCCGGACGACTGCACCAGGCCAAGTATCCAGTCTGCGACTTCCAGCCCCTCCACATCGGCATTCAGTGCCTCTGGCAGGTGCGCCTCCTGCACCAACTCGTGCTCTTCCCTCGCTTGCGCCTGCTGTGCAGATTCCCTTGACGGATGAGCTCCAACCGTTTGGCTGGCAGCGGGCTGCCACTCAATACTGGATGTGTCAAAAGCATTCTGTTGGCCTGCACCAGCATCGTAATCCAGTGCTTCACTGGCTTGTGGGTTGGAGTACTCTAGAGACTCCGAGCCATTATTTAGGGTTTCAGACGACTGCGCCGGGCCAACTATCCAGTCTGCGAGTCCCGTCACCTCCACATCGGCATTCAGTGCCTCTGGCAGGTGCGCCTCTCGCACCCACTCGTGCTGTTCCCTTGCTTCCACCTGCTGTGCAATATCCGTTGACGGATAAGCTCCAACTGTTTGGCTGGCAGTGGACTGCCACTCACTACTAGATTCATCCGCCGAGTTCTGGTGGCCTACAACACCATCGTAATTTACTGCTTCACTGGCTTGTGGGTTGGAGGACTCCAGAGACTCCGCGCCATTATTTAGGGTTTCAGATGACTGCGAGAGGCCAAGTATCCAGTCTGCGAGTCCCGGCACGTCCACATCTACATTCACTGCGTCTGGCAGGTGCGTCTCTCGCACCCACTCGTGCTCTTCCCTCGCTTGCGCCTGCTGTGCGAAATCCATTAACAGGTGGGCTTCAACAGTTTGGCTGGCAGTGGACTGCCACTCACTACTAGATTCATCCACCGAAGTTTGTTGACCTACACAACCATCGTAATCCACTGCTTCACTGGCTTGTGGGTTGGAGGACTCCAGAGACTCCAAGCCATTATTCTGGGCTTGAGATGGCTGAGCCAGGCCAAGTATCCAGTCTGCGACTTCCAGCCCCTCCACATCGGCATTCAGTGCCTCTGGCAGGTGCGCCTCCTGCACCCACTCGTGCTCTTCCCTCGCTTGCGCCTGCTGTGCAAAATCCGTTGATGGATGAGCTCCAACTGTTTGGCTGGCAGCGGACTGCCACTCCCCACTGGACACATCACAAGAATTCTGTTGACCTACACCATCGCAAATCATTACTTCGCTGCCTTGCGATTTGGATGATTCCGGTAACTCCGAGTGATTATTTAGGGTTTGAGACGACTCCGCGATGTCAAGTATCCAGTCTGCGAGTCCCGGCACGTCCACATCTACATTCACTGCGTCTGGCAGGTGCGTCTCTCGCACCCACTCGTGCTCTTCCCTCACTTGCGCCTGCTGTGCGAAATCCATTAACAGGTGGGCTTCAACAGTTTGGCTGGCAGTGGACTGCCACTCACTACTAGATTCATCCACCGAAGTTTGTTGACCTACACAACCATCGTAATCCACTGCTTCACTGGCTTGTGGGTTGGAGGACTCCAGAGACTCCAAGCCATTATTCTGGGCTTGAGATGGCTGAGCCAGGCCAAGTATCCAGTCTGCGACTTCCAGCCCCTCCACATCGGCATTCAGTGCCTCTGGCAGGTGCGCCTCCTGCACCCACTCGTGCTCTTCCCTCGCTTGCGCCTGCTGTGCAAAATCCGTTGATGGATGAGCTCCAACTGTTTGGCTGGCAGCGGACTGCCACTCCCCACTGGACACATCAAAAGAATTCTGTTGACCTACACCATCGTAAATCATTACTCCGCTGCCTTGCGATTTGGATGATTCCGATAACTCCGAGTGATTATTTAGGGTTTGAGACGACTCCGCGATGTCAAGTATCCAGTCTGCGAGTCCCGGCACCTCCTCATCTGCATTCATTGCGTCTGGCAGGTGCGTCTCCGGCACCCACTCGTGCTCTTCCCTCGCATGCGCCTGCTGTGCGAAATCTATTAACAGGTGGGCTCCAACAGTTTGGCTGGCAGCGGACTGCCACTCACTACTAGTTTTATCCACCGAATTCTGGTGGGCTACACCACCGTAACCCACTGCTTCACTTATTTGCGGGTTGGGGGACTCCAGAGACTCCGAGACATTATTTAGGGTTTGAGACGACTCCGCGATGTCAAGTATCCAGTATGCGTCTCCCAGCCCTTCAACATCTGCATTCAGTGCCCCTGGCGCTCCTTTCTTCTGTAGTTGGCGGGGCCCCTCAGCCAGTTGTGTTCTCTCTGCTGAGTCTGCTGGCGGCTGGGCTGAAGTGATGAAGCTTTCTGTGGACTGCCACTCACTGTTTGATTCGATTGTCTCCTTTGTCTTCTTCCTCGGCGCCCCATCTTCGCAAGGTCTTCCATCATTCTCTGTATTTGGCGGCTGGGCATATATTGCGGGGCCATCTAAACTGGGAGACAGCCGTGCGACGTGATGCAACTGACCCGGTACAGATGTTTCTTCATAAATACTCTTCGCAGCCGCACTTTTTTGAGCATACCATGGTAGGCTTAAGTTTCCGGCCAGCACCGCTGTCCTTGTATAACCCATTACTATATCGCCCGGCTTCTGCTGAATACTTGACACACCGTGACTGTATGAAGCCACTGGTCTTTCCATTCTCCGCCGTTTTATTTCCGGTTCGCCTGCCTCTGATAGAGTATCTAATTCTTGCATATGGGGATAAAGTGATGCAGGATCCGATGCAAGAAGCTGTTGGTGCATTTCCGTTTCGCACATCTGTCTGGCGTTATTTTGAGTGGCTTCATCTTCCCGCCCATCTTCACTCTTCCCCCTTTTCCCAGTTGAAGCCAGCCGTCGAGCTGCATTCAGATCTAGAATCCCCTTGAAGCTAAAAATAAAGCAATACGAGACGAGAAATACAATTACCAACACTGAGGCAAATACAGCTCCCCTTAACGGAAACGGGATGCTCTGTTGCCAAGGCTGCAGAAGACCGGGCCTTTCAGAAAGTGCACTATCAACCAGTTGACTGCTTTCCTGTGTGCAGTTGGGACTTAAAAAGTTCCCATGCAAATAAGATCGGCGCTGCAGGCCTAGCAAAGAAAATACGTTCGACATGGATTCACAGATCTCGGTCGAAAACCACCACAGAATTCCTCGACCTATGAGCTCAAACTGTCTACGAAAAAAGGGAAGTAGTGAAATGCTGGCTTCCTCCGCAGAGAGTTGTACATCCTGCTGCCTCTCCAGCGCTTTGCATTCAAATTAGACTACAAGGAGCAGTGAGTCAACACTCCTCCCATCGTTGGGCTTCCTTTCTCGCAAAGGCTGAACAAGGTAAAGTCTTACGAAAGATGCACTGCCTGCCAGAGTTGGTCCACAGACACGAGTCATCGCCTTCAGGGGCCTACTTTGTTCTCACCAATCTGCTGAAAAAGAGCTGGAGAAACGCTTTGTTCTGCCTTGAAGCGGAGCACACCAGATGCCCACGTATATTATCAACTCGCTCTTATGTTCGCCTATGTATGTGAAACAGCGGGACACTGCACCGCAGTTACATGCCACAGTTACTTGTCTTGCTATTCTGGCGCTGAAGCCTGGCGGCTCTGAGATTGCTCTGCACAGCGACGGCTCGAATTTGTATAAAGACCACCGTTGCGAAATGCGTGTGAAATTTATTGTTGGTAGCGCGTTTCGAAAACGTCGAGTGATTCCTTCGAATTCGTACCATTGCTGCATTTGAAATTCTCCCGCTAGTTCGCCGCAATCCACGCCGGCCTTAAGTTGTTGAAATAAGTGGGCGGTACCTGCTGTGCTTCGGGTGTAACATGCATTAGTCTCAGAAGATGCTGCATTTACGTGGAGATCTAAAAATGTCAATGCCTGTGCCTCCTTTCTCTGGGGTATTTGTTGGGATGGCAGGCATCGCTGCTTCGACGTGCAAAGGAGCTGATTTTGCTGTGCGGGGCCCACACAATTGGACACCGCGCCTGCTCTTAAGAAGTATCGCTAAGCATTAGATATAAAATCACACATGATTACATTATAGAGAAAGAGAAGGCACTGAGGGTGTCTCGGCTCACGTGGCTCAATAGTGAGGCCAGTGTTTTGCGTCCCGTTGGACTGCACTTCAGGCATCGCCGCTACAAGCAGTGGGCCGTTGTATTTTCGCGTTTACAAAATCGACGACTTGAAATGTTATTGCACGGATTTATTGGTTGTTCATGGAGAAAGACGGAGCGTTGTGGATGTCTTGGTTCTGCAGGCTCATGTAAAGCACCTTATTTGGCGATACTGACACCGATGGACTCTGCTTCCAGAATCGTGGCCTCCCAGAACGCAACGATTGAGTTGCATCTCGGCGGTTATAAATCTTCTAGCTTCTTAAATGATTCATTTATTTTTATAAATCTGCATTGGACTTAGTTCGGAGAGCTGGCTTGGAGTAAGCGGTATGTAGCCCGTAGCAGAGGTGCGCACTACGCGGTGGATAGGCCACGTAAAATGTGTAAGACGCACCCATGGTTCGAATGAGCTATTGAATATATAGGAAAAACAGAGCTCTAAGGGTGGCTGCACCCTGCTGGCTCTGCAGGCGAGCCCAGCATGTGGCGCCAGCAGCAATCTTTTAACAAACAGCAGCAACACGCTGTGCAGAAGGGACCGCTGTTACACTTCTCCTTCATAGAGGTCCCGGCTCCTCTACACTGAATGCGTGATGCTAACTTGTAGCTGCTGCGCTCGGCGTAGAGGAGTTTCCAGGATAGCCATTGTCAGAGATCCGCGTGGGCCCTCATGTGTGCTTATCGCTCTAGAAATGGATGCTGTCCAGTAAGCTTGTGTACTGCATTATTCTCTACTGCCCACATAATTCCGCACTGAAAATCACATAGGGTCCTCGTGGCCCTGAGCTTGTGCACATCTGGAGCCGCATACTGATGTGGAGGCAACACTGCGAATCTGCTCCACAAACCGGATAAGCAAGGGGTGAACCAGAAGCCGGAGCCGCTTCAGGCCTTTCTTTTCCATTTGACGGTGGAGTAACGATCTCCAGAGATATCACAACCCTTATCACATGAAAGAGTTGGCAACATTCTGGGTGCAACCGAAGTACGGTTTGCGAAGATGGGCGTGGACCAAGACTACTACATAAGCAGCGAATAAGGGGATTATTCAGGAGAAGGCTCTCTTGTGCATTGGACGAACCCAGAGAATACAGGCACGGGTTTGGAGCACAGGATAAGGGGAAGACACGACGTCCTCCTACGTTTCTGCACCACTAGTTGCGCAGCCCTTTTTCGACAGATTCAACTGAATTTTCTTCAAGGAATCCGCCGGAAATGTTTGCTTGGCTTTGGTAAGATCGTAAAGCCAGAGAGAGAGGAGCCTGCGGGCGGTAGCAGATCACTGCAGTCATACCTTCCATGGCCTAGTCACGTAGTGCATTTCCGGTCAGTTCACAGGGCAAGGCTGATGAGCGAAAATCATCTTGGCCAACCTCCACCCTCCAACATATGCATTTCGAAGAATGCATATGGTCAGATGAAGCGCAGGAGATACCTCTGCACATGCTCGAGGCCCTCATATGGTATCAAACAGAGTTCCTAGTCAATTTACCTGCAGGGCTGTCACCAAAGCGTTCACATGGTTATCGCATTTTACGGTGGAGGAATCCTTGCAGCTTAGTATTGGGAAATTTTGGGTATAAGTCTATGCCTTTCGGTCTCAAGTGTCCCTCAGCAGCCCTTCAAGCTAATATCAGCACCTAACTGCAAAAGTCCGGCAGCCATACCTTATTCTAAGGACTTATTGATATATGGCTCTGGTCCCTGAAGTACTAAAGCTTATGCAGCAAATGCTCAGCATCTTCCGCAGGCATTTATTTTGTCTAAAGTTCTGCAAGCGCAGATTTACTCTGAGCAGCAGCCCACTTATTTTGGCTACCAAAGGTACCACACTTGCAGCTGAGAAGCTACACGCTATTCAGGCGTGGCCCGTGATACTGATTATCGGGCCACAAACACGGAAGTTCCCCGGCACTGTTAAGTACTACCGCATGTTCATCGATCCTGAGTTTGCAGTTGTTGTCTGCCTAGTTGTTGATATCGCAGTCAAAGGCTCCACTTCCCACTGGACAGAGCTTCGAACACTCATTGTACGGCGCCTTACGCATCCCTTGATCGATTATACTGCCCTTAATACTTCCGGCGCCACTAATTGCTTCCAAGTATATACAACCGCATCATCAGGCTATTCAGTAGGAGCAGTTCACGTACAAGCACACAGGCCATTTGGCTTCCCCTGTCAGGCCACCCACCCGGTTTGGCAGGAATATTCTTCTTACGACCAAAATTTCCCTAAATAGTCATTGCTCTGAAGAATCGATCTCACTTATCATACGCTGCGAAGGTTGCGTAGTGGGCCGATCATCGGGCTCACTTATTTGCAGCAGCTCAGTGCGTCGAAGCCTCTCCTTACTCCCTATACTTCGCAAACGCATCTCTGCAAAGTGTCCAAGTTATGCATAGCCAGTTGGCGGATGCTTTGCCTTGCTACCATGGGTACCCGTCTTCGTCTGCAGTGACCTGCGTAAGAATGTAGTCGCCTCGCCAGCGCTCGCGGGAGAGCTTCGAAAACCTAGCCAAAACACTTTAACGAGTCAGTCATACAACAGACAGAAGCAGTCATATTCCGCGTATCTCAGAAGCCCGCTAGAGTGCAGGCGCCTCTAGCTGTTTCAACGAACGGGGTCCAACCTTCAACGCCCCTCTCTCGAGTGCTCCCCCTCATACGCCTCCTCTTAGCGCTGCTTTCAGGTCACCAGCGCTACTAACTCTTGCAGTGTCTAACTCAAAAGTTCTTGCAGCAGGGGAATGCTCTTTTTTCATAAGCATCGCACGGATTTTGGCTTGTGAGAGGCTCCCGATCGTCCGCGAGCCTTACTGGTCAACAAAACGCTAATGCCACCGCAGATGAGTTCCAAAATTGTCACTTCATTTTCCCTTCTAAATCATCTTACCTGCTAATCTGTATTTACAGCATGTGGTGAATCTCTGTATCTTGCTTTTCGAGGTACCTTAATTATATCCTCTACAATTAGCACGTTAGAGCTGACTTAGCCACGACGAAGCCTTCGTAACCGCCAGCATCCATTACTATTTGCTAGCATGCGTGCCTATACTACAGGACACGTGGTATCCTGCATTTACTGTCGTGCGTCACCCTGCAAGACTTCATCCGCTGGCCGTACCTTCTCACCACCAGAAACACCTCAGTCTATATTTAATAATTGGTTTGCCCCTTCGTTTCCCTTGTCATAGTTTTTTTGGTGCTAGCGAAATCTTCACCCAAAGGGCTTCATTTCATATCCACGAATAAGACATCGGCAGCAGCGAACACACTATACCTTCTTGCTGACCACCTTACTCGCTACCATGATTTCTGTGAAACGCTCGCTTGTAACTGGAGACACTAGTTATTAATCAGACGTATGGCAGCAGCTATGTAACTGCGTCAGTATGCAGCATGTCATGTACTCCGCACAACGCCTCCAAAATTAACAAGCCGGGCGTGTCAACCGTACAGTGAAACAGGCGACTTGCACTTCGATTCAGCCAGGAAACCAAGGACGGGAATGTCTCCTCTTCACTCCCAAGTCTGCAAAAGGTCGCTAGACACCCCTTAACAGATGGCTTCCCTCTTGGAGTCGTGATGGGCCAGAGGTCTCTTACTGCAGCAGATGTTGACATTGTCGACCCTACGGCAGTTACCTTTACTTATCCTATGACCCAAATGTTCCAGCGTGACTCTATGGCTGGGCACAGTGCCACGGTGTATACTGAACAAGCAACAAAAAGCAAACGCTGACTCCAAACGGCGTACCATCCGTCGTGCTATAGGGGGGCAAGCTGTAGCTCAGTAGCAAACACTTGCACGGCATCACTAGATGCGGTGAGCTCGAAACACGTTACCGCGGCCCCCTCACTAATACTGGGCGCGTTGACACTAAGGCATACAGCTGAAAGCTGCGAATGACAAAATTTTGCCATGGTGTCTTCGGTATTTTTCGAGTTATTCTAAATTGCCCCCGCCACCATACATAACCATCAAGCTCTACAAGATAGCACCAAAATGCGTCATACAGTTCAGAATGCGAAGACAGTAGGGCCTGACCGTCAGAGAGCAGAGTGCCTTTTTAACAAGTTGAAAAGGCACTCTGCTCTCTGACGGTCAGGCCCAATATGTGCTGCAGTTAGATGGGGGTTTGGAACTGTTAAGAGTCATACTGGCGGGCAGCACGGCTACGTGGGGAGGAAAGACTACGCTGGGGGTAGCAGACATCAATTCGAAAAGTGGAGTATGGTTGATGACATTAACAGTCTTTTTGTACAAAAACGGTGTTCTGCGTGAGTACCTGCGCCCATACAACTCGCTACTCAGTAGAGCTACGTAGGCGCCAAGCTGCGCTAAGCTCACTACACCAATTGCAACTCACAGTTCATAACTCGGTATTTAGCTGTTTAGTCTAGATTTGAAAGCGCCTATTGGGCATTAGACATGGTCCAGGCTGGACGCAGGGCATAAATGACACAAATGTTAACCGGATTGCACGAAACGCTATACCATGACCCAGGGCAACGCTATTTAGCACGTGAGCAACTCGTAGTTCGGGGATTACCCAGGCGAGCCCCTCCAGTGGAACTGGAGGGTCTCGTCTGGGTGTAGCTATGCTCAATAGTCGCTGAGGCTTGAAGCTTCACTGGTCTGGGGACTTTTGCGGTTCTCTTCAGTATTTGCTGAGGCCTTTGCGCTATGCCAAGAAGGCAAGAATATTTCAGAAGCTTCGGCGGTGACGAAAACGACTGAGATTGACTGCAAGCAGCAAGCACTCAAGCCAGTTCAGACGCAAACGACGTGAAGGCACGCAGCTCGTAAGTGGGAGAGTTAATAGTTTCAGGGCGAAGAATAGTCAAGCCGATAGACAAAAGTAGCCCGTGGCGTATTTTTGCAGAATTTTCTCGTTTCTGGGGTACCTGTGTGTGCAGAGATAGATAGAACCCTACCAATACGGTTAGAAACGCGCATTCGTACTCCAAATCACGGTAGTGCCATCTTCGGACAACTCTTGAGTTCTTTTTCCTGTCCCGATGTTTAACTGGTCCTAGCAAAAACCTTGTGTCCGTAGTTACAAGCCGCTCAGTGTTGCCGGCTACTTCCTTGTGAGACAGTATCCATATCCCGTAACGCATCACCCTCTCCATTTCAGTCACCAAGAATCTGACCAAGACGACGCTAAGTGGAACCTGGACGAGGTCGCCTTCCTGGTATGAAAGCACGAAATCCGCCTGTCCTGCACGGGCCACCATTGTGCGACAGCGTTTTTTGTCGAACATATGTCTAACTGAAACGTTCTAGCTCATGCACCTTCAGGGACTGTGCTGCGGCGTGGGCTGGAGTAGAATGGAATTTCTTCATGATTTTAATGCACTCAGCAAAAGCCGCATTCCAATGGGACATTTTTAAATAAGCTATATCACTGCATGATTGGATAGCCGGTCTTCAGCTCCTTGCTGTATCCCTAGGCCGGCCTGAGCACAACTTTTCGTGACCACGGCTCACCGCTGCTCGTAGTTCCAATATAATCCCATCATAAAATCAGGCTTAGGCATGCTGTTCAACGTGTTTGTTCTCGAAGGAAACGCAGCCAGTACAGGATCTACAGGCCGCCTAGTCTGCTTGCGAAGAAACACTGAGAACGAGAGCACTGCTCCTGGCATGGAGTATCCGCATGTCTTTTGCTCGAAGGTTCGAACAGCTCAGGTAACCAGTAAGTGGAACAGGAAAATCTAAAGCATGCCATAAAGTCGTATATAGCGTCCTAGTATGGCATTATCGGACCCACTACAGCCATCTAACGCTGTGCATCAGGCGCGGCATACGGCGGTGTCTCAATTACGCAATGTATTTGTTTTAGAGAACTCCCTGATGCTGGCTCAGGAAATTGTCATGCCATATTCCACGCCTGGTGGCGCCAGCAAGTAGGGCCTCCGAATATCCGCACTGTACAGTGTTTTTCCCGACAGGGCAGCGTGAAGATATTCGTCTCAGTCTTCAGTAAGTAGAGGGTTTAGAGGTTTGTCTTGACTTTATGACGCAGCGCCTCTATTGCTGAAGGGCACCTGGAAGGGATGTCACCCCAGCGCGGTTATGGCCTAAACAGTGGCTAATCTAGAGACAAAAGTGCTACAGAAAACCTCCACTAATGTGACATTAATCACTTTTTAACACTGCTGTGTCGGACACTTCTAGTGGAATTAACAGGACTACACTGTATCATTGGACCATACTGGAAGAAGAGACGAATTCAATTCCCTCAAGGAGTTCCTAACTACTTACATACACTGCCTCAAGCACTACAACCCCAATTCCTTTTACCTTCCTAATATGTATGCACTTCTAAACTCTCTTCGAATTCGCGAGAACCGTGGCAGTTTAGGCCTCCGGATGCCAGCGCTCCACAGTTTACGTAGAGGCTGCCCCAGGCTTCAGTAGAACCTTAGTTGAGGCATGAATAGGAACTATCATAAGTTATTTTATCAACGTTACAGCATGTATAATAGTAGAGGAGAAAGGGTACCACTAATATTACCATCCCGAAAAGTACCCGCATGCACTTTGTGGGGGCCGAAATGCGGCTACCATTGGGTGTACGTGTGCCGGGCTCCTGTTTTGCACCTTCTTCTCTTGTCGAGGTTCATAGGTGGAAGATATTCTTCAAGTAAGGAGGGCGTGACTACTTTCGTGAGTATACAGAGCTTCGTGGAATGGGCCACAAGGAAGTAGCGGCAGCTGCGCAGAAGGCAGCTGGGGCAACGCCGGAAGCAGCGGCCGCTGCAATACAAGAAGCAACTAAGAAGGCACCTAAAGCACTTGGGAAGCGGCCTGCTTCAAGTGCTAAGGGAGAATGTGGAGCACCAGCGACCACTTCGTTCCGGAAGAGACCAAGGAAGCAGGGACGGCTACGGCAGGAAAAGCAGCAACCGGAGCAGCAGCCGCCACGGGCGGATGGAGTGCATCGTCAGGAGGATGAGCACGGAAATAAAAAGCGACGTAGACAGCAGCAGCAGCAACACCAGGTCCACCAAGACAGGAACCAAACTACTGATATGGGCAAGGGGGAAGGCGCAGCAAGTGACTCCTTGGGCCAAAGTGAAAAGACAGAAACAGCAGCAGGTGCTCCACCTGAGGACTCACCGTCGGCGGAGAATGATGCAGCAGCCGACGCAGCTGACAGCGCAGCAGCAATAGACGCCGCTGCCGCAGCAGATCCGTACCTGTTGGAGGATGCGGAATACCTTCGAAGAGAAACACGGTGGCTGAATCGTCAGCGCGTTTTGGTGCTGGGCAGCCGTGGCATTTCTGCGAGGTCTCGGCACCTCATAGAAGATTTGAAGAAGCTCCTTCCGCATCACAAGTCAGAGGCAAGTCTCAGACTTGAGCTGCACCCCCAAAACCCTGGCCTGGGGTGAAGCTGCCCAATGAGCGTTCCGGCACTATTGAAGGGAATGCCAACGGAGTTGGGATCCATTATACGGAAAAGAAAACTCGAAGCAACTATTCCAAAGGCTCCCGCGGGAAGCGCTGGCTCGCGGCCCCGCATTTTGTTTGGGCTCTGGGTTTTGTTCTGTCGCAGACGAAATGGGAGAAGAAGGAGAAGCTTCAAAGCATTGCCGAGCTCTGCCAGCTGCGGTCGTACGTTTTTGCTGCTGGTGGTGCTGCCCGTTTTGCCAGACTGCTGCTGCATGCGAGTGCTTATATGGAGTCTGCAAGCGCGGCTTAGGCTTGTGCCGCTGTCGCTGCTGTTCGTGCTGTGACATGGCGAGCTTCTCCGCTTTTGCTGCTGCTCCTGCTCCTGCTGCTGCTGCTGCTGCAGGTGCAACAGTGTGCTGTATTTGGAACAGCGGAAAAACGACGCGCTGCTGCATGTCGCTAAAGTACCTCTCGGTCCCACCTTCATTGCCAGGTTAATGAACGGTAGGGTGCTGGATCCGGCAGTCCAGGGTGTAACTCCAGGGGTGCCTTTGCTTGCACGTTAAGACTCGTTTCCTAAATTCTACTCCACGTTTTTTAGATTGTGGTCCACGTTTGCTTCCTTGTATTTGGGATGTAGGACTTGAGGTTTTGCGTTTCAGTGGAAACACTGAGCGAACTCCGCCTGTCGGGAAACTGTCTGCTGCACTCTCGGCCTCTGCTAATATTCGGATCAGAATTCGATAGAGATCCTCATTACCGAGTCCTCAAGGAGCTCTTTGTGCAGGTAGGATGTGGCAGTTAAGGATGGGGTCATTCTTTGTTGTCGTTACAGGGCAAGGGGCTCATGTTTCCCTTTACATTAAAGTGAAACTTTTGGAGGGGTTGAAGGTCTGTAACGTGCGTTTAGGTGTTTGGAACCCCCAGGAACCATCCTAAATCCAAGCCTTTCTTCGACCATGCGATGTCTTTCTTTGTCTCGGATAACCGCATATGGTTCAGGCATTACCAGGCATGTTACCTTTGTGATTTAGGTTGGATGATGCACCAGTTGAATTTCACAAGCATGTTTCCTTGTGTGTTTGCAGTTTTGTGGTAGCTAGGGTTTGAGTTACGGGTTCAGGGTTCTGTGATTTGTGGCCTTTCAGATTGCTCCATTGGTAGTGGGGGAGGGCGGAGATGCGAACAATCCACACAGGCAGACTTTTATTGAAATTGGTAAAATTGAGGGCTGTGGGCCACGGGTGTAATCTGGAGAGCAAATGTGTTAGCATATAGGCCTGGGGCGCAGGAAGCTGTATGCAGTGCTAGCGTTGTGGGCTTTCCATTTAGTGTTTATGAGCCCACTGGGCCATGAATTTCAGTAGAAAAGCGCGAGAAGGTCAAGCGAATAGACGTTTTAGCGTTTATGTTTTGAATGAGGGAATACTGTGTAGTGCATGGGGGTGAGTGCTTCCCGTTGAGGGCCTGTGGCTCAGGACCTCGTTTCGTGCTGGACCCAGTAAAGATCTTGGACGGGAGCTTCTGTGGCAAGAGCCTTTGGCGAAATACCGAGTTTGTCAGAACATTGGACGTAAGACCCCTGCCAAGTTGAAGACTTCGGCCACCGAAACTCAACGTTTAAAGCACTCAGCCTCACTTTTTGTGCACCGAGCAGGGATCTTGCTTGCAAAAGCAGGCACCAACAGGAGCTCCTGATTCGAGCAGCAAGCATTTAGGGCATAGAGCTTCCGTACTTAGTGTACCCGGGTCTGCTTGGTTGATGATACCATTTTGAAGATTAGGGGCGTAAGATTCTGTTTGTATGCAGCTATTGAGGCCTCGACGCCTTCAGGCTGCTATTGCTTTTGCGAGGCGGCAGGGACAGAAGGAGAAGAGAAAGGTAACAAGCGATTGATTTTTCAGCACACCACATTTAGCCCAGTGCCGTACTGCACTTGACGAGGACCTGCGCACAGCTGCTGCGTTCGCGTGTGGTCTCTAGTCCAGATATGAACTTTTATTTGTAGGATTTGTCGCTTGTGGATTCTGATGTATGACCTGCGTAGTTGTACGAAGAAGCCGTGTTGAAGGACGCACCAAAGAGCAAAATAGCAAATGAAGATATATTCGGCACCGGTATTGTGCCGAGCAAGCAAAACCGGAAATCACGAGCCTCCGAAGCACAAGACCCAACGTCATGAATTTGAGTTGGACGGAACGCGTTGGTTGCTTTATCTGTTGAATTTTGGTTCCAAGTATGAAGGCCTGGAGCGTAGATGTTTGCTTTTGCTCTGCTCGATCGACAATATCCACTGCCGCTGATACGACTGATGAGTTGTGGCAGCTGCATTGGCAGCAACAGCAGAATTTTCTTTCTTGTTCCTGCAGTGTACCTGAAACGCTGAAAACTTGAGACGTAGACTTTTTATTGTCACTTTGAAGTTCAAAGTTGGGCCCTGGCAGAACAGCTGCGTAGCAAGCTTCTCCAGAGGTCGCATTGTAGAAGGTGTTGCATTGGTACAGTGTGGTGGTAAGTCTGTACCCTTAGGATTACGGTAATACGGCGTAGACTGGAGCAAGGAGGGTCTTTGCTGTATGCGCATTGAGTAACTTCAGGGCTGTCGAACAGAAGCGTGTAGTTCAGGCTGGTGGCTGCTATCAGCGCATTTCGTACCTGTTTAAGCAGGAGTCATTTAGAAATTGATGCACACAACTACATCCTGGATGCGCTTTCCCATGTTGAAGGAGCTGTAGAAATATTCCAGCCGTTCAAAGTACGTCCACTTCGTTGTTTCCAACATTGAGCTACTCAGTGTCAGCCGTTGGCTTAGCGCTCAGTCATCAGGATGAGCAATCCGCCGTAAGCTGCCCAGCTTTCTCCTCCTCTATGCATGCAGATGACGTAGGTGCGGGCCGGTAGGGCATGCTGCTTAGCTTTTAGGGTCTTATAGCTCTAACTTGCATTTGGATGCAGTTTCGGTGCACAGTGCACTCGCAGGACTAAGTTATAAACCCCAGATCGTTGAGCCACCAGTTGGGTTACAAAGCTGGCAGGCCTAAAAGGGGGGTTGTGGGCCATGAGTGAAGTGCAGGACAGGCATGCCTGAGAAAAAGGCACTAGTAGCAGCACCCCAACAGCAGGAGCGGTGGCGGCTGATTCGCTGTGTCTGCGAGAACTTTTTAAATGAAGCGTGCCCTAAAGTAGCAAAGGAGCGAAGCAGTGGCGAAAGAAATACAGAAAACGAGCATGCAGAGGCGCGACAATACGCAGAGCTAAAGGTTTTCAAAACACGGACAGTAATAAATATAGTCCAAAGCATGGGAGAAAGAGGGAATGGGAAAATGGGTCGTTGCTGAGCTTCGGTCGCTTTTTGAGCGCTGCATCGCCAACGTCGAAATACCCAGAACAGTAATTTCTTTTTTCAGGTTGTGTTCAGTGCAGCGATTCCCGACTGGCTCCAAGGGCCACTGCATGCTGCATCATATTGAGGCATGAGGCAGTTTCAGTTGCATACTCCGGTAACGAAGGAAGGTGAAATGCAGACGATTACACGGGCAGCAACGGACATAACGATGACACGCCAACGCCACCCACCATTCCTAGCTTTTGGGGAGAAGATGAGCTTGAATGCAGCTACACAGGCTGCTTTACGTTACACGAAACAGCCGCTGTCTCAGCTCGAGGCCGCGGGTTTCCCGGTGCATGTCAAACGGATCTCTTTTGTTCGGTCTCCCAAATCGATCGCAGTGGCAGCCCTATAATATGTTGATAGAGTCTATCTGCAATTTATGTGGAAGTCAGTTGCTGGTCAGTTGCAGGAATGCACAGCGTGGAGGACCTTTTTTTGCCTATTATTCTGGGGATCTCATGCTCTCACATAGGCCAAAAGTCAACGAGCTCTGTTGCAAATGCAACTGTACCCACTGCACAGGATGCCGCCTAACCTTAACACTAAACAAACAAAAGTTCACAGTACATAGTCCACACAGAACCCTCCTCTCTATCAACAAGCGTACGCTGCTTCCGCGACTGTTGTTCCTCTTAACAAGAGCTACAAACCGAAGGGGGAAAATTGAAGACGCACTTGGAGACCAAAAAATAAAGAAACCTCTCTAAATCGTAGACCCTTTATTGCAGGCAGCTGGGCCTGTAGGGTTCGAGTAAAGCGCTCATATGGGCACAAGAGGCAAACGCGAAACGAAACCCATACATTGCAGCACTGCAGCCGCAGCAACTGCTAATGTAGCAAAAAAGCGAACGAGGCAAAGAAGAGAACATGGGCAGGAAGAACGTAGAAATGCCACTGCAGCATGCCGGTACTGCTGCTGCCCATTGTTTCGCCGCTGCTGCTGCAGATATTGGCTGTCCTTCGCAATGCAGGGCTCCTGCTCCTGCCGTTGTGGTCAGAGCACCAAGTATCTGTGCGCTGGAGAGCAGAAGCAGTTTTGGGTGTCGCCGCTGCAAGTGCTCACTTTTGCTGCGGGGTGTGGACAAGAGGGGGGATGTCAGTTATGAAAAGGAACGGTTGCTGCTCGCGAATCCACTTTGCCAGTTGCTCCACAAGAGCCGTAGATACATCTGCAGTCACAACAGAAGCCCTATGGCCTGCTTGGATCGCATTCGCAGCAACTACAGCTAGACGACACCTACGGGGCTTTGCTCTCAGCTGCCGTTGCTGCGGTGTGCTGCTGCTCCGTTCATATTGCTGCCTTTAGAGTAGAGGGCTGCAGCAAGCTGTGTTTGCAGGAGAGTTGCAGCAAGCACAGCAGGCGCAGCAGCTACAGCCTATCTTACTGATCCATCTTGGGACGCAGCAAAAGAAGAAGAACTCCGCCGTTAGCCAAACGTACACCTTTTCGTCCTGCACACAATGACTAAGCACTGGGCTACACCTTGATCCGATACGCACAGCCACGGGCAAAAGAAGTAAGATCAAGGGGACGGAGCTTGGTGCGGTTAAGGACCTCTTCTGTGGCAGTTTCGCGGCTCCACCCTACAACCTAAGCCGCCTTCCCTGCAGCCTTACCGTCGTCTCAACGTAAGCGTGGGCAGGACGCTTTCCGTTTTGAATTAACTCAGCGGCGCTCGCGTACAGAGAAAGGACGCTTTATCACGCACACATTAGAAGCCAAGTGAGCGTCAGACCCTAGGCCCCCGGCCCTACAACCCAGCACCGAACTTCAAAAAGATCAGCAGCCCCCGCCTTTCGGCCTGCTAAACGGGGTTCTGATTGGTGCCAGAAGACTGCATGTCTCTGAGGTTTAGGGTTTCTCGATAGGGGTTGGGACTTCGTCATTTCAGGCTCATGCTGTGGTGGTATCCTAACCTCTGTTGCCTGGAAGCATCCGTTTTGTACTCATCTCCGAATGCAGAGGAGAAGTATTGAGAAAGAGAAGGCACGAACAGTGCGCAGTGCAGCAGCGAAATATCTCCCCATAAGCACCGCGCTGTAAGCAAAGCCCAAAAAGCACTCTAGCCCCTCACCCATAGCCCACACGAAGACTCACAGGCCAGAAGTAAAGACGCAGGGTTTCAACTTACGCAGAGCGTATGGTGCATACTCCAGGGAAGTTTCGATGGCAGCTAGACATCCGGTGTTTGTCAGCATCTGCAACAGAAATCCTAAGCTTTTAACCCCAAGCCGTAAGCCTTTCGGCGCAGACTCCACAGCCACACAACGAAAAAGCTGTGGCGACGCACTGATGGATTTCATGCATGAGCCATAAACCGTAAGTTCCCAAACCTTTGCCCCGTCACGAAGCCAAAAACTGTGAGCATAAATCCTAAACGCTACGTTCTCTCGGGAAAGTACCGCGAATAATTTATTGCAGTGGTTCGCGAGTTGGTGGAATCTGATGGAGTCCGCTGGGGAAGAAAGGCAGACAAACGCGAGACGAGGAGTCAAATAGCGAATGTAGGCGTGTAGGAACCCCCTAACGAGGACAGACAAAAAGATGAGTGACAGTTTGAAGGTAAGCTCTACTACACACAGAGAAAGAAAGGCAGAGAATTGCAGACACGTGCGCGGTGAATGCCCTTGCAGGCACGTGAAAGGTGCAATGAGCAATATAACGGCATAGTAATGCATGGATATTCAAGAGCGGAAGAAAAAAAGCAAAATGAATAAGCAACGCGAAAGCGACAGGACGAGAAAGGGAGCAACAGTAGGTATATCTGAAGCCCTACACGCACAGATTCGGAGGCAGACAGCAAGGAAGAAGAACCAAAAACGAAGAGCAGACAGGTAGCAGCGAAGACATAAGCAAAAAGGGGGCCAGATATTTCCTCGCATATTCATGCAAAGACACAAACGGGGATACGGAAGACCCGATGACGCGGCAAAAACTGAGGAGCGAAACAAAGCGATGGGCGTGCAGGCCAGGAGCAAGATGAGGAACGAAGCAGCAGCAACAAGCAGCAGCAGCATGCAGCAGTGCCAGCAAGAAGCAGCAGCAGCAGCCAGAAGCAGCAAGTAGCAGCAGCAGCAAGGGTAGCAGCAAGTAGATGCCGCAAGCAGCAGCACCAGGCAGCAGAGGCGAACACTGACATGCAGACACTAATACAGCTGCGCTGGTGAAGGGAAACAGACAAAAGCACGAAACAGACAATCCGTAACAACAGGAACTGCAAAAGATGAAATGCAGAGATGGAACTGCAGATACGAAGTTACGCAATGACCGAGCAACACAGTGAAGCAAGTAGAAAAAGAACCCACGACTTGCCTGTCGTTAATGCTGGGAAGGCACAGAGGAGTCCAACTCTCTAGCCGACGCAAAGCCAAAGACGAGCTTACAAAGTTTGTCAGCAAGCACACGTCTGCAGCACAAAACCTAACCCTCTAAAGCTCCATCCTTCACTCCCCAGCAGTAATACGAAAGACACAAAGCCACCTCTCAGCCAGGGGTTTTACCATTACTGTCTGCTGCCTGCTCTCAGAGCCTAGCCAGGCCCGAAATCATTTTCCCTTGAGCAGCTTAAAGACTTTGCTATCGCATTTTACCTGTAGGGCTGAGTTCATAGCCCTTAGCGTATGAAAGAGAAACAACTCGCTGTTCCGCAAGAAGCATTGAAGCTCTGAACGCAGCAGACCAACTCGGAACAAGAAGTCGGACTTTGTGGGATGTAAGCCCGAAGCAGAGGGGGAAAATCTCATGGTGCAGCAGCAAGGAGTTGTGCTAGCGAGCCAGCGGCCACTAGAGTGACAGAGAGAACCGCAGACAGAGGCCGGCAGGCCGCAACACTGAGAGGCACTCTGGCGGGAGCTTCGAGGTAGCACATGAAGAGCAGCAGTGAGCTGGAAACTGAGAGATGGGGCAGGAAAAACAAGAGAAGGGAATTTTAAAAAAGGCAGCTGGGAGGAGAGAAGCCAGGGAAAAATCCAAAGACGCGGCGGCAACATTACAAGAGCGGATTGACAAAGGCGGCTGGACCCATGCAGAACGAGATTGAGAAGGATTATCGCAAAGCAAAGGAAAAAAGATACAGACGGAAACACAGTTGAAGGATAGAAATGCAACTAATAACACGGTCCGCTGACAGGACGTTCGGCGTGGGGGCGTTTTTGACAGCAGTCGTCGCGATATGCCTCATCGTGCCGCTAAGAGGCAGTGCCTCAAACGCCCCGCTGATTGAAAGAGCAGCAGACTGCTGCTCCTGCTGCTGCTGCTGCTGCTCCACCGTAGCCGACGCAGCAGCTTCTGCAGAGCCCGATAGAGGTACAGCTGCAGCGGCGCAGTTTGACTTAAACAAAATCGGAAGCAAAACAGAAAGCATTGAGTGAAAGTAGTGGCGGTGCAGCCCTCGAAATATGCCATCGGTCCCTGCAGCCGCAGCAGCAGCGGGAAAAGCAGCAACAGGGAAAAATGCAAATGGTTGACGAAATAAATGAGCAGGGACCTCAAGGAGCAGCACAAACAAGAAGCGCGGACCCCGGCAGCAGCAAAAGCAGACACAGCAGCAGTAACTGCCTTACCGCCCATGAGAGGCCTCACATCGAAGCTTGGCCGAATGAGGAGCGTGCGCTCGACCTCTTTCGTCAGTATGCACACTAGCTGCAGCAAGAGCAGCAAACACGATAGAAAAGCAGCTATGGCAGTTACAGCCTAGCAGCAGCAACAGCAATACCCAGAGTTGACAAATGCAGCCAGCTAAGCAGTCAACCAGGTGCTGCAAAGAGCAGCGGGAGAAGAGTGCAGCAGCCGCAGCAGCAGCAAGACCTGTCTGTGAAGCAGCATGAGGTAACCTCTCGCCGTGCTGTTGTTGATGCTCTGTCGATCGAAGAGGGCCAAGTAAAATGGCCCGCGCGAAAGAAATACAAAACGGCCGCCGAAGCAGCGAAAATGACTGCAGCGAAACGCAAACGCTGAGCTGCAGGCGCTGACAGTCCACGGCCCAAACCCAAAACCCTAAACCCTAAACCCTTCACCTATGCTTGAGCTGCTTGGCAGAAACAGTCTGACGCCAAACGCGCCTTAGACATCCCGAGGACCAGACCCGCCATCCCGGCCCCTCACCGCACAACGTCGGGCGGCTTGTCGCCGCGAAACCTTTCCAGTTTGGACACAATTGCCGACAGAGCCCCTGAGATAAGTGACAGGCCGCATGCCAAACCCTAAACACTCAGCGAAGTTTCCTTTGTGCAGACGCGGGGCCGCAAAACCCTAGTGTTCAAGTTTGCCTCGCGGCTGAGGCCTGAAAGCTGAACATCACCATCTGGCGGCGACTGCAAACGAACCGGCGAAAGCCCCGAGGTTCTCTTCCTTGCCATAGCTGCAGAAACGCGCAAGGAACACTTGCTGCTGAGTGTGGCTGTTGCTTTCTCGAGCTGCAGCTGCTGCGCTGCCTGCCTGCGCCGCTGCACCTTAAGGCGCTCAGAGAGAGCTGGCTCCAGAAAAGGAAGCATGAGGCTCCAGGGCTCACCGCGAGTAAACAGGCTTGCCAGAGTAAGAGAAGATGAAGGTGTGCCGTTTGTGTCGGTACCAGCTGGGGTTGCTGGCGTCTGCAGCGCACAAGACATGAACAGCAGCAGATCCTCCTCAGGAAACTCTTTTCCTCATTCTCACCTGCTCGCGCCTCCTGTTTGTCTCAAGATTAAAATCTTTTTCTGAAATTAAATTTGGAATCAGAAACAGAATTGTCTGCCGCCCCCGCAGCCAGCTGTGCTGCACTGACACAGCCAATAGAGTCTTGCTGTGCTTGTCTGTCTAAGACTTGCCTTCTTCGGGGTGTTTCTTTGCTGCCGTTTGCTGCGCCGTTTGCTGTAGCTGTCCTCCGATGTCAGTGGCGTAGCCGAGGCGCGTTTCCACCAACTTGTGAATGCCTGCTTGCGCTGCTGCTCCCTCTGCTGCTGCTGCTGCAGCTGCATCAGTTGCTGCTGCTGCCTTCCCAGCAAAGCCCGCTGCGTCGTAAGCACTTTCGGCTACTTCGTCCACAGAAGTCTGATCGCTTTCCTTCCCCTGCTGCTGCTGCTGCTGCGGTGGCAGCCTGTGTGCAACTTGCACGGCTTTAGGGGTGGTCGACGTCTGGTAGTGAGCCGTGCTGCTGCTGCTGCTGTTGCTGCTGTTACTGCTAGTGCTGCTGGCTTCTGCGCCGCGTACTCCGCGCACAGCCGCTTCGGCTGCTGCGACTGCTGCAGCAACGACAGCAGCCGCAGCAGCAGCACCAGGAGCAGCAGCTGCAGCAGCAGCCGTCGCTGGTGCAGCAACAGCAGCATCGCCGCCAGCTTCATGGAGGCTTTCAGATTCTGCTGCTCCCTGCTGCGGCTTCTGCTGCGAATCTCCTGAGAGAACACGACTTGCTGCACTTCTTATCATCCCCAACGCGGAAAAAAGGTCACCTTTCCTGTCACTGCTGCTGCTGCTGCTGCTGCTGCCGCCCGCAGTGCTGCTGGTGTCCGCGAAGCTGCTGCTGGCGTTACTGCTGTTATTGATGCTTTCACTGTCGCCGTTCCTGTCGCTGCTGCGAGGGCTGCTGCTGCTGCTGCTGCTGCTGCTGCTGTCGGCCCTGTTGCCGTCGCTTTTGGCACCGCTTTCTACCTCTTTTACTGCGCTGCTGCTGCTGCTGCTGCTGTTGCTAGCTGCTTCAGCAGCTTCGCGCTGTTCGTCCTGCGGCCCCAAGGGGCTTGTGTCTTTACTCGTTGCTGTTGTGCTGCTGTCGCTGCTGCTGTTGCTGCTGTCGCCGTTGCTGCTGCTGAGCCTCCTGTTAATGGCTTCCAGGGAGGACGCAGCGGAGGCAGCGTCTGTGTGTGGCGCTTCTGCTGCAAGTGACTTCGTAGCTGCTTCTAGTTTTGCTGCTGCTGCTGCTGCAGTTGCTGCAGTGGTCTCCTGGCTGTCGAAGCCTAAATTCTCGCTGCTGCTGCTGTTGCTGCTGCTGCTGAGAGCATCTTGCTTGGCTGCGGCGTCGTCCTCAAAGAAGCGCCAGACACTTGCTGCTGCTGCTGCCGCTGCTGCGCCCGCTGCTTCTGCAGCAGCTTCCAGCTTGTCTTGCGGCTGCCGCTCCATGCTGCTGCTGCTGCCGCTGTTTGCTTCGAAGCCTTTGCTGCTGCTGCTTTGGAATCCGCTGCCAGGCGAAGGAGCCCACAGCGAATCTGGGGGGCGCTGCCGACGGTCTTGCTGCTGCTGTTGCTGCTAGTGCTGTTGGGAGAAGCTACAGCCCCCAGAGGCTACAACTTGCTGCTGCAGCTGAAACCAATTCAGTAGCTTTTCTGCTTCCTGCTGCTGCTGTTGCGCATGCTTGCCCGGTATGTGTTGTTAGTGGTCTGCTGCTGCTGCCGCTGCTGCTGCTGGGTTTGTAGCTGCGGCTGCTGGCCTCCTTCGGTTGTCTGCTGCAGTCAAAAAAACAAGACATAACGTGAAATACTGACAAAAGTGTTCCTGCTGCTGCTGCTGCTGCGGTTCTTGCTGCTCCTGCTGTCGCCGTTGCTGCAAGGGCCCCGTCGGCAGCAGCAACGGAGTTGAGTTAGTTGTGCTGCTGCTGCTGCTGCTGCTCGCCTAGCGCATGCGCCGCCCCTTCTGCATAAATTTCCAAATTATTATATTCAGAAGGTTTTATAACATCGAAACAACAGCAGCTGCAGCAGCTGGGACAGCAGCAGCAGCAGTGGCTGGTGTTGTAGCCATGAGCAGCGCCTCCGCTGCTGCAGTTTCAACCAGCAAACCTGTCCGCCTGCAGGGTAGCAGCAGCAGCTGCAGCAGGGAGGGGGGCTGCAGCAGCAGCAGCAACACAGTTGCGAACCAGCATCAAAGGCGGCGCTGCTGCGCTGCTGGAGCTGCTCCGGCGCTCGTGCGAGCAGCAGCTGCAGCAGCTCAGTTACAGCACAGGGAAAGCCGGATCTTCCAGCAGCAGCACTTGAGCAAGCCTTCTCTCTGCCAGCTGCTGCCTGTGCTGCAGCAGCACAAGTGTCTTCCCTGCTGCTCATCAGTTGCTGCTGCTGCTGTTGCTCCCACTGCGCCTGCCGCTGTTCTTTCCTTGTGCCTCAGATGTGTGCTTCTGCTGCAGTCCTCTGAGGCGCAGCCTTCGCAGGACTTTGTGTATCCCCAGTAGCAGCTAGCTAGCTAGCCAGCTCGCTAGCCAGCTCGCTAGCCAACTAGCTAGCTAACTAGCTAGCTAACTAGCTAGCTAGCTTGCCGGCTAGCTAGCTACCCAGCTAGTGGGCAGGGTGTCTGGGGGCCCCCAAGAACTGAGCAAAAAGGCTCAAGGGCGTGAAGCAGCTGCTAGTCAGCTAACTGCCTAGCTAGCTAGCTAAGTAGCTAGCTAGGTAGCTGTCTAGCTAGGTAGCTAGCTAGGTAGCTAGCTTGGTAGCTAGCCATGCGGCTAGCTAGCTAGCTAGCTAGGCTAGCTGGCTAGCTAGCTACGTAGCTAGCTACTTAGCAAGCCATCTAGCCAGATCCACTATGCTACTGTTTCCAAGTCATTTGCGTTTCTGCAGCGATCTGCAGCGTGGGAGGTGACCAGTGGTCACACCTTTTCGAAAAAGCCATTAAAGAATAAAAAAGAAAGTTGAAAATGATTTGCTGAAGTTCTTTTTGCTGCAACTTCGTCTATTTGCTCTTAGCAGCACTTGGCGACGCTTCTTTCTTTGCTTCGAGCGACTCCAGCAATTGCAGCGCCTAATAGAAAGTGTCAAAAGACAAAAGAAGTGTAGAGAGGGCTGAATAGGGTTTACTGAGGGTTTAGGGTTTACTGAGGGTTTAGGGTTTACTGAGGGTTTGGGGTTTACTCAGGGTTTGGGGCCTACTCAGGGTCTAAGGTGTATTCAGGGTTTAGGGCTTAATCAGGGTTTAGGGTTTAGGGTTTAACGGCGAGTTGGGGCTTACTGACGGTTTAGGACAATGAGGGTTTACACTTAACTGAGGGTTTAGGATTTACTGAGGGCTTGGGGTTTACTGAGGGTTTGGGATCTAGGGAGGGCTCATGACGCTTCAAGATCTAGTGCGCGTTTCTTGAGGGTTTAGGGTTTAGGGTTTGGAATTTAGGGTTTGGTGTTTGCTGAAGGCGTGCAGTTCAGGTTTTCCGGAATTGTGAAGGCTTAGAATGCAGAGTGTAATTTGGGTCTGTTGGCGGTCTAAGGTTTAGGAGATGACCATTAGGGTTTAGGGTTTAGGGTTTAAGGGGTTTTAGGGCTTGACGCCAAGGGTTTAGGGTTTAGGGTTTAGGGTTTGCACGCACCATTTTGTTTCTAAATGCTGCAGTAGCAGCAGCAGAAAGCCTCGGGCGACAGCCGAAAACTAAGTGGAAAGAAGTTAGAGCATTTAGAAGCCGGGGGTCAGAAGTGGAGGCACTGGGGAGCGGCTGCAGCGGAAAAGATGTTAAAAATTAATTTATTTTAATTTATTTGCAAACAAAATGAAGATATATTTCTGGAATTTCGAGGAATTTCGGAGAACTTCCTCTTTTTGCAAGTTCACTTCAGAAGATATTCAACATCCATGAAACGCACCAGCAGAGTCAAACAGGGAGTTGGAAATGGCCCGATTAAGCGATTAAATGAATAAACAATTTCATTTATAAATCAAATAATTTAATTAAATGGTCTGTAGATGCAAATAAGCAGTTGAAAATCAAAAGAAATAAAGACGGAATAGCTTATGCTGCAGCCCACAGCTAAGAATACACGAATGCGGAATTCCAAACGAGAACACCAGAAGTCAAGTTTTTTCTTTTTGAAGTTGAAATGAAATGAAAATAAAATAGAAAAATAATAAAGTGTTTGTCAAGTTGAAATTAAATTAAAAGAAAACAAAGAAATAACAAATTGTTTGTTGTCAGAAAAAACAGGAACACGCCAACGCAAGCTCAGGCCAGCTAAAATGGCAAATAAATAGACAAACACAAGTAAACAAACAAACGAACAATTAAATAAATAAACAGACAATTACATAAATAAATAAATAAATAAATAAATAAATAAATGGAGGAGGTAAATAAATATTTTCGTTTTACTGTTATTGGTTGGCTTTCATGTGCGCCCATGCATTGAAACATTGAAAAGAGAAAAGGCAAAAGAACAAACAAATAAATAAATAAATGACAAACAATAAGTAAAATAAACGATTTTGAATAGTTTTTGGTATTTAATTCCAAACATTTTCATCTTCGGATGCATTTTAAATATTTTTAAATTTGAATGTTCTCTTTTTCAATTATTCAATTTCGACCCGCCTCACCTCCACCCCAAACTCCTCCCTGTGTTCCATCAAAACTTGCAGGCCTGCAGAGAGTTTTCAAACACAATTTAAATTATTTAATTGCTTTATTAATTAGCTAATCAATTAATTAAATACTTGGTTAATTAATTAATTAATTAATTAATTAATTAATTAATTAATTAATTGATTATTTATTCGTTTAAGGAATTGCTTGAGGTGCTTCGCTGTATACACCCTAATCTTACAGTTCAAGAAGCAGCAAAACTCAGAAATAATGAAATTACTGAAGAAGAAAGACAAATTGATTAGTTAAATAAATAATCAAATGATTAATTAATTAATTATAAAATAATAAAAGCTCATAAATAAATTTAGTATTCAATTGTTAGAGCTTTCAGTGCAGATCACGACTTAAATAGAAGACAGGCTCAAATAAAACAAAATAAATGTTTATTCAAATCAAATTGAATTAAAAACTTGAAAATACAAAGAAGTTCGCGTCTCTTCTTGGAAATAAACCTGAAAAAAGAAGAGCGGCTAACTTTAATGATAGCACATGAACGGGGTTTAGGGTTTAGGGTTTAGGGTTTACGGGTGCGCATATACGCACAAGTGCCGATTAATTGGAAGAAAAGAAAAGAAAACAAAAAAACAAAATGAAAAAGAATTCCAAAGAGAAGTTTATAAAATTAAAAACGAAATAAGAAGAGGCAGTTAGCATGAGCTGAAGGAAAGCAGCAAAAGTGGAACAAAGAGAACCATTTTTGGTGAATTAGAAGACAAAAAGAAAACAAATAAATGAAATAATAAATAAATAAATAAATATGTTCATTTGTTTTCTCTTTTGTTTCTTCGCCACTTTCAAAGACAGGAGCACGAACATGAATTTGAACTTTGAATTGAATTTTTCCTTCTCTTAAAGTGGAAAATTTAATTTCGAATAAATTCAAATGAATTCTTTTTGATTTTTCTTTTTTTTAAAGTGGAAAATTTAATTACAAACTAATTCAAATGAATTTTTTTTTGATTTTCTTCTTTTTTTGAAGTAGAATTAATTGGAATTAATTACAAATTAATTCCAGTGAATTCTTTTACCTTTCTTCATGAGCTGTACAGACAGCGCGTGAGCCACCATTGGAGAAAAAAAATCATCATTTTGCATCACTGGGCTAAAAGCTCTCAGAGTGATTTTGAGGGACTTTTCTGCAGTTTTTCTGCAAAAAAGAATTCAATAATTCAATTAAAATAAACTTCAAACAAATTTAAATATTTCCATGCAATCCATTTATTGCAGCGGCCGCCAAGTTGGGAAAAGGAACGGAGAAAACAAATCCCACGAACTTCATTCGCACTCAAAACCCTAAACCCTAAACCCTTAACCCTAAACCCTTGGCCTTTCTTAAAGTAGATGCGCACGTGGGCTCGCTGCCTCTCTATTAGGCGTTTCCACCAGCAAAAATTTAGCTACACAAATATACTACCGCAACCCAAAACCCTAAACCCTAAACCCTAAACCCTAAACCCTAGTTTGAGCGCACCGCGCCTCCACATAAACCACACCAAACTTATTCCCTTTTAGCCGCCAGGGCGCCACGAAGGCCCAGAAAGAATGAGTGCTGAATTTCCATCGAGAGAAGGTTTCCTACACAAACACCCTAAACCCTAAACCCTAAACCCTAAACCAGCGTTTCCACCGCAGGTACCAGAGGGCTGACAGCAAGCCACAGAGGGAGAGAAGGAGGCGATCAGGCTTCCGGGCCCAGGCCTCTGGGCTCATGGAGCTTAGGGTTTAGGGTTTAGGGTTTAGGGTTTGGGGTTTAGGGTTTAGGGTTTGGGGTTTAGGGTTTAGGGTTTGGCACCATTAGGGAGTCCGCGACGCCGTCGGCCCTGCCGGAGTTCTTCGCAAGAATATCTGCCACGGGGATGTTGAGGAGAGTTATGAAGGAAGGACTAAAAATAAAATAAATAAAATAAATAAAATAAAATAAATAAAATTACATTAAATTAAATGAATAAATAAAACAAAATAAAATTATAAAAAAAAGAAAGAAAAGACGAGGTGAATGCTGAAAAGAAAAGGGAGAAGGAAGCTGAACAAGATTCCAAATTCGAAAAATAAATTAAAAATAACAAATAGCAGAATTAATTTAAAATAACAAGTTCCAAAATTAATTGAAAATAATAAATGGCAAAATAAATTAAAAATGATAAATAAAAAATAAATTAAAAATAACAAATAAAAAATGAATTAAAAATAATAAATTAAAAATAAATTGAAAATAATAAATTTAAAATAATAAATGGCATTTATTTAAAACACAATTTCGTAAAAGAAAACAAACCCCTCCGGTGGTCTGGTCCACTGGTCCTTCTTGCGCTGCAGCAAAACGCAAACCAGGAGATTAAAACAAATAAACGATAATTAAATAATAATTAAATAATAATTAAATAATAATTAAATAACAAATTTAATTAAAAGTAAAAATAAAAAAGAATTAGATTTTGTTGAGAGCCACAGAAATGGCTGGGTGTATACACAGGACTCTGGAGTGTATGTACACTTAACTGCAAATGCTGCACTTTTCGAGGGCAAAAAAAGGTAAAATTATTTTACAAAAAACACAAATATATATATATATATTTAGAATATATTATGTGTATATAGTATACATATATATGTCTATAATATGCATATATATACATATATATATATGTATACATATATATATATATATATGTATATGTATATATATATATATACATGTATATATATATCATATATAGTTGGATAATGTATATATAAAAGCAATATATATTAATATGCCTACATATTATCTAAAATACATTTATTTATATACTGTCTGAAATATATTTATTTATATAATGTCTAAAATATATTTATTTGTGTTATCTAAAATACATTTATTTATATAATGTCTAAAATATATTAAGTATTGAAGTCAAAAATAAACTATACAATATGTGTACGTACAGTATGCAGAGGAAAAATAAATATTCAAAAGTGAAAATGTTTAAAAATAAAATATAAAATATAAATAAATATAAGTGTAATTTTCTGCAAATGCTTTTAAATAAGTTAAAAAATAAATAAAGTATAAATATAGTTATCCGGAAATATCCAAAAATAAATTAAATAAATAAAATAAAATTAAAGTAGAATTATTTGAAAACAATTATGAATCAATTAAATAAAATAATAAAATGAAAGTAGAATTATTTGAAAACAACTATAAATAAATTAAATAAAACAATGAAATAAAAGTATAATTACTTCAAAATAATAACAAATAAATTAAATTAATAAATAAATTAAATTAAATTAAATTAATAAAATAAATAAAATAATAATCTTACCCGCAGCACTTCCATAAAGGCCCTGGCCACTGCAGGGGCCACGGGCTTTCCCTCGTCTAAAACGGAGGCAATTTCAGCTCTAATAAAAAATAAAATAAAATAAAATAAATAAAATAAATAAAATAAATAAAATAAATAAAATAAATAAAATAAAATAAGTGAGAATTTTGTTGTTAGAAGGCACCAGCAGCAGGAGCAGCAGCAGCAACAGTAGGAGCAGCAGCAGCAGCAGTAGCAGCAGCAGTAAGAGCAGCAGCAGCAGCAACCGCCGTAGGAGCAGTAGCAGCAGCAGTAAGAGCAGCAGCAGCAGCCGTAGGAGCAGCAGCAGTTGCGGCAGCAGCAACAGCAAAGCCCGCAGCGGCAGCAGCAGCCGTCAAAGCTGCAGCTATAGCAGCAGCAGCAGCAGCAGCAGCAGCAGCTAATTGCCATTCACCAGATTTTTGATTATTTACTGCTGGTCTTTCCATAGGCGTTAAAACCTTAGGGCCACTGTGCCACGTGGCGCTGCTGCTGCAGTGGCGGCTAGGGTTTAGGGTTTAGGGTTTGAACTCCAGGGTTTAGGGTTTAGGGTTTGAACTTGAGGGTTTAGGGTTTAGGGTTTAGCTCACGGCTTGATGACAACACCTTCGATTTCTTGTTCTTGAGAAGCAGACGGATTGTCTTTGAGCTGCTGCAGCATTTGCTGCAGCTTTGCAGCATCTGCAGCACCCAAACCCTAAACCCTAGACCATCAAACCCTAAACCCTAAACTTTAGAGCGCCAAACCCTAAACCCTCCCACTCTCCGACACAGAGCCCGCAGCAGCCCCTACAGCCTGCAGCAAGCAGCAGCCTGCACTTAAGGCCTAGAAATTAGGGTTTAGGGTTTAGGGGTTAGGGTTTAGGGTTTAGGGTTTAGGGTTTGAGGACCCACCCGCAGGCGACGGCGGGGCCTCAAGACTGTCGCAGTTTTCTGCGGTGTCTTTCAATGAGTTATCCTAAAGGAGAAAAATGAAAAAATGAATAAAATAAATAAATAAATAAATAAATAAATAAATTCGGTCGATTAATTAATTAATTAATTAAACGAATTAATTAAACGAATTAATCAATTAATTAATTAATTAATTAATTAATTAATTAATTAATTCGTGTAATTATTAGCTAATCAATTGATAAATAAATAAACAAATGAATGAATTTATTAATCAAAAATGTAACTTAAGAAATTAATTTAAAATGTAATAAAGAATTGATAAATAAAAAAAATAAAGAGTAAATAAATAAATAAATAAGGAAACAGTTCACCTTCTGTTTCGAAAATTGAAGAATAGAAGAAAACAAAAAGTAATTTGTTTATTAAACTGATTGATTTGATTTAAATAAAAAGTAATTTAATTAATTAAACAACTACATTTTACCCTTTTTGCTGCTGCTGCTGCTGCGCTGCTGCGCTGCTGCTGCTGCGCTGCTGCTGCATCATACTCTGTTCTCCTTATTTCAAATGCTGCAGCGTTTAAGCTTTAATTTTTAGATGAATTCTTTATTGGTATTATTATTATTATTATTTATTATTATTATTTATTATTATTATTGTTATTATTATTATTATATTACTATTATTATTATTATTCATTATTTATTTGCTGCAGCCTCATAACTCTAGTTTTGAACGTTCGCAGCTGTTTACTGGTGGCTACTAATGCTCACGCATAACTGCTGCTGCTGCTGCTGCTGCTACTACTGCTGCTGCAGCTGCTACTAGCGCTTCTGCTGCTGCTGCCTCTGGTGCTCTCGCTGTCGCTGCCGCTACCCCTGCTGCTTTTGCTGCTGCAGCTGCTACCGCTTCTACTTTTGCTGCTGCTGCTGCTACCTCTGCTGCTGCTGCTGCCTCCAGATACATCGCTGTTTTGCTGCAGTGAAAACCTGTGCTTCTTGTTATTATTAAATTACAAAACATTTATTTATTTTTATATTTTAACTTATAATTTTCTTCATTGCTGTTCTCGCTTTGGGGGATTGCTGCTGTCCATACACCCCAAGCGCCCAAACTCACCAGCAAAAGATTCGGCAGCCACTACGGCCTTTATTTATTTATTTATTTATTTATTTATTTATTTATTTATTTATTTATATTTATTTTTGGAAAATAAATGACTCACTGGCTGCAGCTGCAACAAACCAAACGCAGAGCAGGCAGCAGGGGTTGTTTCTGGTGTATATCCACCGAGTTGCAACAAAAGCAATAAATTAAAATTCATTTTTAAATAAATAATAAATTAAAATGCATTTTGAAACAAATGATAAGTAAATTAAAATGCATTTTTAAAACAAATAGCAAATTCAAATGCAGATCCACCAAATCATATTTACTCCTATTTTCCCGAGCCACTCCCGCCCAACAAAAGCAGCAGCAGCAGCAGCAGCAAGAGCAGCACAAGAAGCAGCAGCAGCAGCAGCAAGAGCATCAGCCCAAGCAGCAGCATAAGCAGCAGCACAACCAGCAGCAGCAGCAGCAGCAGCAGCAGGAATGGTGTTGACTTATAAGCCTCTAGGCAATCTGCAGCAGCAAAAAAAAGAAGCAAATAATAAATTCGGGATAAAAGAAACAAATAAAATACTTTAAATAGAGTATTCAAATAGAATACTTTAAATAAAATATTTAATGCTTACAATTTTGGTGCTAACTGCAGCGCCCGCCGCGGCGCTGGTTGCTGCAGCTGTATCTGCTGCTGCTGTTGCTGCAGGAGCAGCAGCAGCAGCAGCAGCAGCAGAATCAGAATCCGAGTCAGCAGCAGCTGCAGCATCATTTGTGGAGTCGCTTGAAGGCGCTGGGGAAGACGGCGCTTCGTCTGCTGCTGCTGCTGCTTGTTGTGCTGCTGCTGCTTTTCTTGCTGCTGCTGCTGCTGCTGCTGCTGCTGCGGCTGCTGGCAGCGAAAGCCCCGGTGGCGAAGCTGCTGCTTCTGCTTTTTTCTTTGCTGCTGCTGAGGGGGGCAGGGGCGGTGGTGGTGGCGGTGCTGCTCCTGTTGCTGCTTTTGTTGCTGCAGCAGCAGCAGCACCTGCTGCTGGGAGCGGAGGCGGTGGTGGCGGCGGCGGCACTGTTGCTGTTGCTGATTTTTTTGCTGCTGCTGCTGCAGCATCAGCTGCTGCTGGCAGCGGGGGAGGTGGCGGCGGCGGTGGGGCTGTTGCTGCTGCTGATTCTTTTGCTGCTGCTGCTGCTGCAGCTGCTTTTGCTGGGAGGGGGGGCGGTGGTGGCGGCAGTGGGGCTGTTGCTGCTGCTGTTTTTGATTTTTTTGCTGCAGCAGCAGCAGCTGCTGCTGCTGCTGGGAGCGGGGGCGGTGGTGGCGGCGG